ATAATTGTTTTTTTTACCCTTTTATCTGGCAACAAAACTGACACCTTTTTTTACAAGGAGTCATGTTTGCATAGACCACAATACCTGCAGTCATAATGCAAACAAAAAACATAACTCTGATAATGTATGCACTGTCCTTGAAGTCCTTGAAGTTGATTGCTCCACACCCGAGACAGCTTTCCTTAGAGCCTAGTCTCACATGGTGTTGGACCAGATGACGCCAAAAGGCGCACCTTCAAGGACAGTGCATACATTATCAGAGTTATGTTTTTGTTTGCATTATGACTGCAGGTATTGTGGTCAATGCAAACATGACTCCTTGTAAAAAAAGGTGTCAGTTTTGTTGCCAGATAAAAGGGTAAAAAAAACAATTATCAAATTATCAATGGGGAACTTGTCTACGACTCGTCACTCTGTCCACAAAGAACTCTCCCTAACCAGCCGCGCCGTCTTCCTCTCCAGGCTTATCTCAACTCTGCCATTCCCACAACTCCGATCTGCCCTTACTTTGACTGGACTTCTCTTCCACTTCATCGAAGGCATTGACTGCTGCACCTCCGATTGGCTACGCACGGCCCGAAAGAAGTTAAACACACATGTCCTGTACTTGGCGTGAGTCATCCTTAGTGTGGGAATGTGTATGAGTGATAGTGTGTGTGAGTGATAGTGTGTGTGATAGTGTATGTGAGTGATAGTGTATGTGGGTGATAGTGCGTGTGGGTGATAGTGTGTGTGGGTGATACTTTATGTGAATGATAGTGTGTGTGGGTGATAGTGTGTGCGTGTGCGTGAGTGATCGTGTGTGTGAGTGAGTGATCGTGTGTGTGAGTGAGTGATCGTGTGTGTGAGTGATAGTGTATGTGAGTGATAGTGTGTGTGAGTGATCGTGTGTGTGGGTGATAGTGTGTGTGAGTGATCGTGTGTGTGAGTGATCGTGTGTGTGTGACTGATACTTAGTGTTTTGCGAGATTCTGGTGAGCAGGATCGTACCGAAGAGTGAACACCAGAGATGATGGCACGTGTTGTTAATTCCAGAGTGTTGTAGGTGAGTGCCAGGCAGCTGTGTGATTGATGCGAGTGTCCGTGTTTTTGAGTTTGAGCGATTGCTCGTTAGTGCGTGTTTGTCTACTCGTGAGTAAGGGTGTGACCCCTTGACTGCTGCTGCTGCTGTTGTTTGTCGGTGTCCTAATGATGGGCCACTTTGTTGAGCCATCATTTGTGCCCAGAGCGCTTCTGAAAAATGAGTTAATACCTCAGTGGGCTTTGCCTGGTAGGATGGGGATGGTTTAGTTTAATTTGAGTGTGTTTGGGTGATTTGTTTACCTCTCTTGTACTTGACACGACTATCGTGTTGTTGTGAACAGAGAGGAGGGTATCGGACAGATTATGCTCGTTTACCCACGAAGCCTCTCTGAGTCTCAAAGCTGTTCTCCAGGAGGGTCCTGTCGGGTTTTCCGAGTCGGGGCGATGCTGTTGCTGTGTGTGTAAGGAAGTTGTGGGTCATTTTTCAGCGTCGGGATGTTTGGCCAATACAAGCGTTGGCATTATGTGCAGCCCGCTTACTGGGCATAGTACCACCAGCCCTAGCGGGGCTTGGGTGAGCGCTGGTCAGCGCGGAGGCACCGCGTGCAGTGTGCGGTGCGAGCTACTGGTGAGGGAGCGTCAGCCAGCCAGGGTTACGTTGGGGCACGATACGCTGGTTGACCTGCCGACACGTGACCGGATGATATTGGAGGGGGGCCATCGGTGGACGGGGGCCGCTGGGCGGTCACGTGGTATAGAAGAGCTCTCGGGAGCCTTCGGGAAAGAGTTCGAGAGATCGAGAAGGTGGGCGGGGCGAGGGGCGGAGCCAGCCCCAGCCCAGGCCGATATAACGGGGGCCCCGTGAGGGGTGAGGGGTTCTTCGTGTTGCTGGTGATGAAGATCCACGTCGGGTTCAAGAAGCCTCGAGCCACGCGGCCCGGGACCCAGATTGTGGTCCAGGCCGGGATAGCGAACCGTGTCTAGTTCTGCCGTAGCGTGGCTAGATGAGCATTCAACATCCAAGTGTAGGTTGTGTTGTGTTGAGTTGTGTTGAGTTGGTGTAATAAATAGTGTTGCTCCCAAGACAACGTCTGTGACTCAGTTGGACTCACTAGACAAGTTACATTGTGTGTGTGAACTCGAAGGAGACCCATGCAGGATAGGGGAGACATACACACTACACACAGACACATACACACTACACACAGACACATACACACTACACACACACTACACAAAGACACATACACACTACACACAGACACATACACACTACACACAGACACATACACACTACACACACACTACACACAGACATACACACTACACACAGACACATACACACTACACACAGACACATACACACTACACACAGACACATACACACTACACACACTACACAAAGACACATACACACTACACACAGACACATACACACTACACACACACTACACAAAGACACATACACACTACACACAGACACATACACACTACACTACATACACACAGACACATACACACTACACACAGACACACTACACACATACACACTGACAAATACACACTACACACACACTACACAAAGACACATACACACTACACACAGACACACTACACACTACACACACACTACACAAAGACACATACACACAGACACATACACACTACACTACATACACACAGACACATACCCACTACACTACACACAGACACATACACACTACACTACATACACACATACACATACACACTACACACAGACACATACACACTACACACATACACATACACACTACACACAGACACATACACACTACACACAGACACATACACTACACACAGACACATACACACTACACACAGACACATACACACTACACACACTACACACAGACACATACACACTACACACAGACACATACACTACATACACACAGACACATACACACTACACACAGACACATACACACTACACACAGACGCAGTGCGAGTGTCAGCACTGCGCCACCCTGACCCCAATTGTCAATATTATTGGCTACGATACAATGTTTTCATACACCACAGTTTCCTGTGTGGTACAATAAAGTAGTTGTGCATGTCTCATACACATAAATGTACACAAACGGCAGGGTTAAGTCATAAATTATATAAACTCTGCACCGTGACGCTAAATGTGGCAATGCTGGCCCTAGTTGGCATTGCACGCCCTTAAAAGGGCAGGACGGGGAGTGATGAGGTTGTTGTTGTTTTATTGCCGTTATCTCCTCCGCCTCTGATCCAAGTCCACCGCGGTGTCTTCGCTGTCGGGTAATAAACTCAGCACATGGACAACGTCCGTCCTGGCATCTTGATGTAGTCAAATTCGTTCAGGTCAACGTACCAGGGGCCTCTCCACTGCTAGATATTTAGTCCACGTACAAGGGACGTGTGACGTATCCTTACGTATCGCTATGGACCGTGGCGATGGCACGCTCCATCTGGTCTGTGTGATAACTGTGCCAGCACCATGTCGATACCACCGAATCAACGTGGACACGATCAGCACGCATGTCGCTAGTAAACTGAGACACCGTCAAACATTCGCATGCTCTCTTCTTTGAGTCCACAAAGGCCCTCAGTGACCGCCTGCTCTCCGACCCCTCATTATCCTCATCTTGTATGCAACAGTACGCGACTAACAATGACGGACATTGTATCTAATGTGTGTCTGTTGAACTTATTTCGCACCGTACGTATCCCACCGTGCTAATCGGAGGAGCTAAACCGGGATGAGGGACAACACGTGCTGCGAATACAATCCCGGAGTAGAGGATCGCTAAATGAAATCAATGGAGCCAAGCTCGCAGCGAGTGTGGAACGTTAACGGTGTTTGACGCCACGTTTTCATTTGACCGAGTTAAATTAATACCGATGTCAGTGGCGTTGTTACATTTTTATAGACGCAAACACCCCGATGCAACGCGGAATGTATTCCTTGTAAGACTAAAAATGTAGAGAGATTTTTTTTAAAAGGTGGCACATTTTACTTTCGAAATATGCTGCGGCGTTTTGTTTCCGATCATCGCCACTGTCGAGCAGACCGACAGATGCGGCTCACGCGGCTCAGCCGAAGCTGGGCCACTCAGCTGCTTCCAAAGACGACGAAGGAGGCCACGTTGAGAGGCGACTCGGGCTCCTCAGCGCGTGGCTTTGAGCCATGGCTCACCGGGCCACAGCCAAGCGTGAGCCTGGCATCTTGTACAGAAACAGGCGTCGTCTTACAATTGCAATCCCTGTAGATACATCATCGAATCTACAGTCATTCCGTTATTTGACGACTGTGATGTATCCTATCGGGTTGTTTCTTCGGTTGAACTTACACTCACACAATCTGTACACTCACACAATCTGTACACTCACACAATATGTACAGAGGTGCTGCGTGAAGGAGGCATCACCGTGTCGTTTATGCCATGGCTGGCCAAGTGTCCTTGGAGGTGAGAAGACATTTTGATTGCAGGGCTATTCTCCATCCCAATGATATTGTCAGTTGCTCTGCTTTTATTTGTCTGACCTCTTGTTGTTGTTGTTACCGTTGGACAATCCCCCCAGAAATCAGCGACGCGCATCTCATTGTCTATGAACAGTTCCCCAGATTTCTCACGCAATTTGGCTCACAACGCATTTAACCGAGCTGCTGCCACAACCTTTTTGGAACCACCACCCAGTTTCGCCTCTTGACATCTCTGCGCTCATTTAAACTTAATTTCTTAAAATCGCCAACGTTTAAAATGTGAATGCAATTTTATAAGATACATTCTTTTTTTTCAAGTTTGTGTTTTTAAATCTGTAATTGTGGAATTCTTTGATGTTGTCTGCCGGGCGGAATAGCCCTTTTACAAAAGAGCTTCCGATCTCAATGGGGCTTCACCCAAAGGGAAATAAACTTGTGAGTTGTGATTCTGTATATGGGGGGGCTCGTCGTCGTTGGTGAGCTGCACGCGCCGGAGCTGAGGTCGCCCCTGCCTGCCGAGTAAACACCACGAAGTGGAACGCGTCCATTGGCTGGTGGTAAAGTCGAGCTGCGTTCATTGGCAGCAGGTAAAGTTCAACTGCGCGTGGAGCTGTACCAATCCGTCCCGGCGCGCTCTCTCGCAGCAGCAGCAGCAGGTTTGTGTCTCATGCAACGGCATTCGAATCGTAATAATGATAATAATAATGATGATGAAGAGTAGTAACTTGAATGTCACATTGATGGTAGATTGTTGGATGTTATCCAGACTTTGTTACGTCGCTATGGGTCACGCGTTCTTGTTCTTGTATGTTAATCGATAACGCTTGTCCAACAAATGCTATTGGTTGGGAGTAACATATGTACGCGGGTTGAACTTCTTTCGCACCGTACGTAGCCAACCGTGCTAATCGGAGGTGCGGGAGAAGGATAACAAAAACTGTTGTTAATAAATTAGTTTTCAATCTAGATTTAAAAGTGCATAGCTCCAGTGGCTTCCTAACATCGAAGGTCTATAATCCAATATGATATTTTTAAAAAGCTGTTGTATAATCAAATAAACTATTCATCATCCAGGGTCTCTCTATGCAACAATCCATCTCGTCCCACGTGGTGGTCGTCCTCTGCGTGTGCAGCTCCCCGCCGGCGGCTGCCGCTGTGGCGCGAGGCGCCACCGCCGTCGCCCAGCGCCCAGAGACCTCGCGGGGGCTCTCCTCTGCGCGGCCACTCCGATCCACCTCTTCATAGTTTTCGTTTCCCACCAATTTCCAACGTCTCTTCTCACTTTCCAACATGTTCTGCTTTTGAGTCATCTTCTCCTGCTCCGCATGGCCGATGTCTTGATGTAGAGTAATGTTGTTTTTTAGTTTGTTACATTTTCTTTGTCGTTGTCCGTGTTTTGTTATCCACGTGACACACTGAGCAGCAGGGAACGCTCACGCTGAGCACCACTTTCATGTTTAGGAACGTTGTCACGTTGGTTTTCATCATCATCATCAACATTATTGAGTGTTTTTACAAAAGGACTGAAAGCCGCTCCCAACTTCCTCTATTTCATCGTCTTGATCTCAGTCCACCTGCAACAACTGCCCTCGTTGTGGCACGCCCGATGTGTTTTCCAGTCTCAACACATATAGGGAGCTCGTTTTAAAATGTTTTTTGTTTTGCTCATATTTCTCTAGTGTGACGAGCTTATTCAAGCATCACCTGTTTTTCTTTACCCATGATGATTGTAACGACGAATATATATCTTCAGAAAATCTGAGATGGTGAATGTTTCTCAATATAATTTTCTGAAAATATCTTCCCGTGTTGATGGGAATAAGGTTAGCGAAAGCCTGGCTACATGCACCACTTCCCTGCTCACGTCTGTTTGTGGTACTTCATGCAATTTCAGTCGCTCTTAAAGTTTGTAAGTAGTTAGTATTTATAAACGTGTGTATTTACTTCATGAATCTCTATGTGATTTCAGGAAAGCACAGTAGAATGTCAAGTGGCATATTTCTTGTGGACTTCATGAAATAATTATTGACAGTATGTTCTTTAAACATGTGATTTAAAAAAAATATTTTATCTTCAAAAATACCATTCAATTCTAGATTTGAATTGAATGGTATTTTTCTAGACATAACTTCAACCGAGATGATGGATTCAAATTGAGCAATCATTGGAAGGATGTAATTAACCAAGTTAAACTTTAGCTGCCGTGCAGTTTACTGCTAGACAGCCAGTTTAGATTTATTTTCATAATCAAATCCATATTCCCAGTCTGTTACCCCCAGCTTCACACACTACCATCACCATTACCACACGTCGTTTTTCATCTTGCGCATTTCTAATTTACCCCCCCCCCCCCCCCCCGGCAACATAACAAGAAGCTGCTTAATCTTAGCTTTCTTATCTACTTCCGCCCCCTGCATCACAAAGCTTCAGTTTGAACTCCATGCGTTGCCTCCCAGCGTCCGTTGCTTCACAACGTTGCCTCCCAGTCTACAGCCCGCCCACACACTCACCATGGCCCCTCCCCTCCCTCCATCCCCCGCGACTCTATAATTTCTCGTCACAGCCATCTCTTAGACACACTTAAGCGGTTGTGCTTTCGCTACGTTGTCCCCACCTGAAGAAGGACGCTTGTGTTGCGCCCGAAACGTCGTGATTTAATTTAGTTGTTTTCATTTATTTTATTTTTTACCTACGTGACTTTAACGAAAAAACCAAAGAATATGAATACCATTCAAGACAAATACAACTGAATATCGAACTTTCTTTTACGGAAACAATAAATATATAATAATTGTTTGCAGAGAGCTGTGTGCGGCTACATTTCACATTCTCTTTATCAACCGACAGCTGAGTCTGGTGTTGTGTTGTGCGTGACTTGTTCTGTAGGCACGCAAGATGAATAGAGTCATAGCCACCGGAGGTTCTTCAATGGAATACCACCAAAGTGTCCAGCACAACAACCACAATTCAAATGCCTACTCTGGATATCCCGAACACAACCGCAATGCAAATGCCTACTCTGGATATCCCCAATACAACCCCAATTCAAGTGCCTACTCTGGCTATCCCGAACACAATTCCAATTCAAGTGCCTACTCTGGCTATCCCGAATACAACTCCAATTCAAATGCCTACTCTGGCTATCCCGAACACAACTCCAATGCAAGTGCCTACTCTGGCTATCCCGAAAACAACCGCAATGCAAATGCCTACTCTGGCTATCCCGAAAACAACCGCAATGCAAATGCCTACTCTGGCTATCCCGAACACAACCGCAATGCAAATGCCTCCTCTGGCTATGCCCAATACAACCCAAATGCAAATGTCGAGCCTGACTATCCTCAATACAACTTCAACCAACAGCCATACCCCATGACAAGCGCAATCGCCTACCCCCCTCCGTACGAGCGCTCTGCGAGTGGACTCGGCTCCAACGACTCACCACCACCACCCCCCGTGCAGAATTACGAGAATTTGTCGGTGGTGGATGACCGCGTGAGTGAGTCGGGGAGCGCAGGGAACGAGACGGCGATGCATTTCTCGGAGAAGTCTATCCGCCACGGTAAGCCTTGAACATTTAAAATATACGCTCATCTATTTTGACAGAGCAAATTATTGCAATTTTAAGTGGTTCGTACTGCGATTTCAGCGGTTGCAGCGTCCCTGTGACGTCTGTGTATATGTAGCATGCACGCACGCTGCAGGCACGAATTTCACGTGCGTGGTGATATGGACAAACTTGGAATGTGAAACTTAGCTGGTGAGCTGAGCCACCACCACTGAGAGGCTGGGTTCGATTCCACGTTTCAGACGCCTGTGATTAAACCGGTCACCAATGACGGCGCACGCAAAAAATAATTCATCCAATTACGTTTTTTGGTTGTGCATTTAATTGGGCTACATTCCAACTCTGAGAATATTTTGTTTTGTGTTTTGACAGTCGTGTAGCAGGGCGGGTGGGAACGCGCCACCCAGTGCTGTGTTCACCAGAGGGCACTTGCGAGATGTAGCTCTGTGACAGCCTCTTCCGTGTGCCGTTCTCCGGCACGAAGGGGTGGCAGCAGTGCTCTGCTCATGGCACCGTCGCCGCAGTGGCGTCTGCTTGCTTCTGTGTTGAACTTCTTTCGCACCGTACGGAGCCAACCGTGCTAATCGGAGATGCGGAGAGTTGGGGGAGAGGAATCACGTGCGCGGGAAGTTGTCTACGATACGAACCGTTGCCGCTTTGTGAGTCGTGTGATGTGTCTATATCTGCATTGTTTACAAACGTATAGAGCCTGTGATGTGTGTGTGTTTCGTCTCTGTGGCAGCATTCATCAGGAAGGTTTACGCCATCCTTATGGCACAACTGATTGTCACAATTGGTATCATCTGCGCGTTTATTTATTGGTAAGGAATCTGTATTTCATATATAAACCTTTAACTTTGTAAATGTTTGCACATTCTGTTAAAGTGTATGCTCAAGTGATGACATTCACATGCAACACACTATATTGTGTTCCGCAGTATTCTCGTTTTCATTTGATTACAATCACCCAATAGTGCCGCGAAACAGACTTTTCTAGAGACTTCAGAAGGACACTGATCTCTTGTTCATCAGATGCTTTCTTTCTTCACTTTCCCCTTGACAATTTCCAGGGAAACGCTCAGGAACTGGTCCAGTGACGTTCCGTGGCTCGTTTATGCTTCAATGTAAGTTTCATATTGCGTAGCATTTCTATAAACCGTAAACCTTTACAATAATTTCTACACGAACATTTTAATATATATTTATGAATTAATGGCTTGTTATGTCCGTAGATGCATTATTGTTAAGTAATTCCCCAATTAAACTTCACAACATTATTATGCAACACAAAGTGTGGATTTTGTCGCAAAAGCGGTAGTTATCTCGGTTTAATGGAGGAGGGTTGGTGAATCACAAAGATGCATGAAACTTCCTACCCATGGCCTGCCAGGCTACGGCAGTACAGCAAGCGGATTAATTTCCATCTGTACGGGGATTCGGAGTTACAGCCACCCCACCTCCAGCCCAGCAAGGGTTTCTCTCCGGCTACTGCGGTATAAAGACTCACTCACCCAGTTGCCCAAACACCCCAACATATCGTCGCAGAGGTTGGGAAATTGTTGCCACCTGTTCTGGCCGCCTTCACACTCGAGTGTGGGTTCCTGTGCGTCCGTGTCAGAACTGTGCGCATTACAATTCTCCAGAGATTTGAGATGTAATTTACTTTAATGATGCTTATATATGAATTCAACACGTTGTTATTATTGTTATTGCATTGATATTAATAGGGTCTCTTCTGGTGTGACTGTTTCCCCAGACCGGCTACGTTCATCCTGCTCGTGTGCTTGTCCTGCTGCAGCGGGATTCGCCGTAAAGCTCCCTGTAACTTCATCTTCCTGCTGCTCTTCGTAAGACATTTACGATGGGTCCTATAACCCGGTCCAAAACTTGTCCCGTGGGTCGAACCCCATGAATTGTCGTTTTCACTTCCTGCAACATGACTTGAAGATGCTTGACGCAGTTTCAAACGAAACGTCAGGTCTAGTTGCTAAACTCGGTTGTGAGAATTGTTCTTCGGGTCACAACGACAATTGGTACATCAGACGCTCATGCGCCACGTGACAAATTTACTTGTGTGGCCACGTCGGGTGGTGAAGGGTTCTTCCTGACACACATTTGGCCAGATCATGGCGTTGGCCTCACACAAAAATAAATTATGAACAAACAAAACCCACCTTGAACAACCCGCACTGACCGACTTGTTAAAGTAAAATTAAATAACCACGACGATCCACACGGTGCGGCCCTTATCCAGCAGAGGATAGATAACTGCCCCGTGACCAATTGGGCAGTGCTCGTGCACATTGGCCGGTAGCCTGTAGAGAGCGAAGTCACCGTCGTGGGCTCGCGTGACTGGAGGTGGCTGGGATTGGGGAGGCGGTGCAGGAGGTTACGCATCAAATGAACCTCATGGCGGTACCCCGGGGTACCAAAGTACCACATGCAGTCATTTTTAGCCTGTTGATGGTCGGCGATGCGGCAATCGACTCATCTCGACGAGCTGTACACTATGATGCACCACTTCGGTGCGTACCGCGAGCGTTCAGGGTTTCATCGCAATAGTCCTCGCTGCGTTTCGACATCGCGGAGTGGCACTGATATCGGATTGATTGGTACCCAGTCACGGAGTTAAACACACCCCTGGAAAAAATAGTGTCCCAGAAAAAACATTGAATTGCCTCGGCCATTTTGTATTGTTTGATACCCCGAGGCACCGCCATGAGCGTCAAATGACCAATTACTCGGTTGGGATTACACAGCAGCAGCAGCAGCGTGACCCCATCCTGCAAAACGCAGCCATAGAGAACGGAGTCTTGAGAAGCAGGAAGCCTGCAGGGCAGTGACATAGTAACAACATTATCAGTGGCGTAGTAACTACATTATCAGTGGCGTAGTAACTACATTATCAGTGGCGTAGTAACGGCATTATCAGTGGCGTAGTGACTACATTATCAGTGGCGTAGTGACTACATTATCAGTAGTGTAGTAACTACATTATCAGTGGTGTAGTAACTACATTATCAGTGGCGTAGTGACTACATTATCAGTGGCGTAGTGACTACATTATCAGTGGCGTAGTGACTACATTATCAGTGGCGTAGTGACTACATTATCAGTGGCGTAGTGACTACATTATCAGTAGTGTAGTAACTACATTATCAGTGGTGTAGTAACGACATTATCAGTGGCGTAGTAACTACATTATCAATGGTGTAGTAACTACATTATCAGTGGCGTAGTAGCTACATTATCAGTGGCGTAGTAACTACATTATCAGTGGCGTAGTAACGGCATTATCAGTGGCGTAGTGACTACATTATCAGTGGCGTAGTGACTACATTATCAGTAGTGTAGTAACTACATTATCAGTGGTGTAGTAACTACATTATCAGTGGCGTAGTGACTACATTATCAGTGGCGTAGTGACTACATTATCAGTAGTGTAGTAACTACATTATCAGTGGTGTAGTAACGACATTATCAGTGGCGTAGTAACTACATTATCAATGGTGTAGTAACTACATTATCAGTGGCGTAGTAGCTACATTATCAGTGGTGTAGTAACTACATTATCAGTGGCGTAGTGACTACATTATCAGTAGTGTAGTAACTACATAATCAGTGGCGTAGTAACTACATTATCAGTGGCGTAGTAACTACATTATCAGTGGTGTAGTGACTACATTATCAGTGGTGTAGTAACTACATTATCAGTGGCGTAGTAACTACATTATCAGTGGTGTAGTAACTACATTATCAGTGGTGTAGTGACTACATTATCAGTGGTGTAGTAACTACATTATCAGTGGTGTAGTAACTACATTATCAGTGGCGTAGTAACGACATTATCAGTGGTGTAGTAACTACATTATCAGTGGTGTAGTAACTACATTATCAGTGGCGTAGTAACTACATTATCAGTGGCGTAGTAACTACATTATCAGTGGCGTAGTAACGACATTATCAGTGGCGTAGTAACTACATTATCAGTGGCGTAGTGACTACATTATCAGTGGCGTAGTAACTACATTATCAGTGGCGTAGTGACTACATTATCAGTGGTGTAGTGACTACATAATCAGTGGTGTAGTAACGACATTATCAGTGGCATAGTAACTACATTATCAGTGGCGTAGTGACTACATTATCAGTGGTGTAGTGACTACATAATCAGTGGTGTAGTAACGACATTATCAGTGGCGTAGTAACTACATAATCAGTGGTGTAGTAACGACATTATCAGTGGCATAGTATCTACATTATCAGTGGTGTAGTAACTACATTATCAGTGGTGTAGTAACTACATTATCAGTGGCGTAGTGACTACATTATCAGTGGCGTAGTAACTACATTATCAGTGGCGTAGTGACTACATTATCAGTGGTGTAGTGACTACATAATCAGTGGTGTAGTAACGACATTATCAGTGGCATAGTAACTACATTATCAGTGGTGTAGTAACGACATTATCAGTGGTGTAGTAACTACATTATCAGTGGCGCAGTGACTACATTATCAGTGGTGTAGTAACTACATAATCAGTGGTGTAGTAACTACATAATCAGTGGTGTAGTAACTACATTATCAGTGGTGTAGTGACTACATTATCAGTGGTGTAGTGACTACATTATCAGTGGCGTAGTAACTACATTATCAGTGGTGTAGTGACTACATTATCAGTGGTGTAGTAACTACATTATCAGTGGTGTAGTAACTACATAATCAGTGGTGTAGTAACTACATAATCAGTGGTGTAGTAACTACATTATCAGTGGTGTAGTGACTACATTATCAGTGGTGTAGTGACTACATTATCAGTGGCGTAGTAACTACATTATCAGTGGTGTAGTAACTACATTATCAGTGGTGTAGTAACTACATTATCAGTGGTGTAGTGACTACATTATCAGTGGCGTAGTAACTACATTATCAGTGGCGTAGTAACTACATTATCAGTGGCGTAGTGACTACATTATCAGTGGTGTAGTGACTACATAATCAGTAGTGTAGTAACGACATTATCAGTGGCATAGTAACTACATTATCAGTGGCGTAGTAACTACATTATCAGTGGTGTAGTAACTACATAATCAGTGGTGTAGTAACTACATAATCAGTGGTGTAGTAACGACATTATCAGTGGCATAGTAACTACATTATCAGTGGTGTAGTAACTACATTATCAGTGGTGTAGTAACTACATTATCAGTGGCGCAGTGACTACATTATCAGTGGCGTAGTAACTACATTATCAGTGGCGTAGTGACTACATTATCAGTGGTGTAGTGACTACATAATCAGTGGTGTAGTAACGACATTATCAGTGGTGTAGTAACTACATTATCAGTGGTGTAGTAACGACATTATCAGTGGTGTAGTAACTACATTATCAGTGGTGTAGTGACTACATTATCAGTGGCGTAGTAACGACATTATCAGTGGTGTAGTAACGACATTATCAGTGGTGTAGTAACTACATTATCAGTGGTGTAGTAACGACATTATCAGTGGCGTAGTAACTACATAATCAGTGGTGTAGTAACGACATTATCAGTGGTGTAGTAACTACATTATCAGTGGTGTAGTAACGACATTATCAGTGGTGTAGTAACGACATTATCAGTGGTGTAGTAACGACATTATCAGTGGCGTAGTAACTACATTATCAGTGGTGTAGTGACTACATTATCAGTGGCGTAGTAACTACATTATCAGTGGCGTAGTGACTACATTATCAGTGGCGTAGTAACTACATTATCAGTGGTGTAGTGACTACATTATCAGTGGCGTAGTAACTACATTAGTAGTGACTAGATTATAAGCTCAGGGGGTGCGGTAATCGGTCAGGTGGGGCCCCAATATTTGGTTGTCTGGAGGAAACCCACGGGCGGCTCTGTCAACCGCGATGTGATTGCCACTTGTGGACATTTCAAACGTCTTTCGACCAACTCCACATTCCGTGTATCCGCAGACCCTGCTGGAAGGGGTATTGCTGGGATCTGTGTCTTGGTAAGTGTCCGTTCCTACCCTCCTTGACTGGAATCAGTCGTCGTTTGGATTCTTGCATCACCAAGTGGATTACGCATTCACCTCAGTAAAGAAAATCCCAGAATGCAATGTTCCAGCAACATCTCATCATTTGTATATACATTAGTTCATGCCATCCTCTTGGAATATTGAAGGGTCTGTGTCTGTTACTCACGAGCTCCTATTAGGTAACTATTCATATGCCAATTTAAAACACTGGTCATCTGGAAACTTTTTCAATACAATTCCCACCAGGCGCATGGTGTGAACGGGTGCAGTCTCCAACTGCTGTCCACCGTCTCTCGACGTGCTATGAAGAAGCGCCATTGCCTGAAACGTCACCAATTAATCACTTTCCTTCTAAGGCCACAGTGTTATTGACGAACGTGTTCAGTGCTTTTTGTTATTTGTGCTTGTGCACCACTGCCAACGCGGTACAACCAAATAATTTGATTATGATAATTCTATAACCATTACTCAAACACATAATCGCATGTTCAATGTGAAGAGAAGGAGCGCCTCGTCAGATCCGCGTGGCTGTGGAGACGCCGGCGGCGTTAATTTTGGGATCTGAAGAGCCTCACAGATTCGCGGTTTTGAGGCCGAGGTCGTAAGAGGAAAATCAAACCGACAGCCGGACAAGAATATAAGAAGAGACACTTTGAATTAGTTACACCATAAGGAACACTTCTATGGATTACACAATACGGGACCCTTGGCTTGGTGACCGTCTTCCAGCTTGTATCTTTCTCTCCACTCCTCATACTCTCCCCCTTCTATACCCCTCAGCCCCCCTCTCTAGAATGTCCCCTCGCCCCACTTCCCTCAGCCAACCTCCCCCTGTCCTTCAAATCGAACCGTCCCAAATCGTCGCCTCTGGGTTCCACCGCCGTTCTTTTCCGCCAATTCTCCCTCAAAACGTTCCCGCTAATGCTCCCTCAAACCATTCCTGCCAATTCTCCCTCAAAACTTTCCAGCCAATTCTCCCTAACAACTTTCCCGACAATTATCCCTCAAAACTATCCCGACAATTCTCCCTCAAAACTATCCCAACAATTCCCCCCCTCAAAACTTTCCTGCTAATGTTCCCTCTAAACTTTCCCGCCAAATCCCCCTTAAAACTTTCCAACCAATTCTCCCTAAAAATATTCCCGCCAAATCTCCCTCAAAACTATCCCGCAAATTCCCCCCTCACAACTTTCCCGCCAATGCTCCCTCTAAACTTTCCTGCCAAATCTCACTCACAGCTTTCCCGCCAAATATCCCATAATACTTTCCCACCACTTCTCCCTTTAAACTTTTCCGTCAAATTCTCACTCGAAACTTTCCCGCCAAATCTCCCTCAAAACTATTCCACCAATTCCCCCTCAACACTTTCCCGCCAATTCTCCCTCAAAACTTTACCGCCAATCACTCCAGCATCCCCGCCCCCTGAGCATTCCCTGCGGAGACGTTGGTTTATTCTATTGAATAGCCGTGAGGTTGCACATCGACTTCGGTCATGACACAGAAACTATCCAACACCCACACAGCGGGTGATTAAACAACGAGCATCACCTTCACCCTGCCAACCCCGGCCCCCCATCACGACTCTTCATTCTCCTCTTGGTATCCCCTGCCCCCCTGGATATCCGCTCGCCCAGTCACAAACGTCGTCTCCCCACGCCTCCATCTCATCCACGCGCTGCTCCGTCGCCACTCGGTGTTGCAGAGAGGCGGCTTCCTCAAGGAGGCTCGCCGTCCTCACGACGGTGATCTCTACCCGTGCTGGTCTCCATGCCGGATTATCCTACTAGTACAAGGAGCTCCACCTGCAGTGTAGTAGCTACACGTGTAATAGCTACACGTGCAGTAGCTACACGTGCAGTAGCTACACGTGCAGTAGCTACAACACGTGTAGTAGCTACACATGCAGTAGCTACACGTGTAGTAAAGCTTTGTGACGTCATATTTGAGGGGGGGGGGTCAAAAATCGTCCAAAATCGCGTGACGTCATTTATGGACGGCCCCTTGCTCTATTACTACAGTACTATACCGCCTTCAACTTTTATGAACGATTCGGTGTTTAAGGTTAGCGATTTGTCGTATCTGCCTGTATAGCAAATGAAAACATATAATTACTTTACTATGCAAGTTAAAAATGTGTGTTTTAATATATTTGTTTTATTTATGGCCCCTTAATAACATACTACAGGCCTCGCACTAGCTTAATCCGGCACTGTTTGGCCTACCGCTCACCACATTTGGTGCTCACGTTGTGCACTGCCGACCGAAGAGCAGCCGGGGGCTGATGCTGCCAGGGCCACGTGGCAAGCAGATGTGGGGGCATCGACGTCTCGAGCTTGACCTTGTCACTTCAGCAAACCTGTCAACCCATACGGGTTACCCGTATTCTTGTGCAGGGAAATAGAGTTTTCGTCTATTTTTTGTGTTTCTCCCTTGTGGTGAGGGGATTTATAAGGGCACGGGGTGACCAATAGGGTCTGAGCGGGACTAATAAGGTAGGCACTGAGAAGGGGGTTGACAGGTTTGCTAAAGGAGCAGCAGCAGCAGCATCATATCATGTTGGGATATCGTCCCCAAGACACCACGCTGCTTTCGATCATGAAACTGCTACTGAGCGTCATCTTCTACTGCCTCGGTTGGGCTTCAGCTGCTGCCCCACCACAACGCATGCGGCACCCCTTCCTAGCGACTCCACGCAGTAGTCAGGCGCGTTACTCCAAGGCGATACCAAACGGGGCAATTGTCGATCTTCGACTCATCTCGCTCTGTTGCTGTGCTCGGTGAAGGACCGCCACGGTGGGTTCTGTGTTTCTCCCTGGGGCAGCTACTACTCGGCCGCCTCGGTGATGTGGGCAGCGGGCATCACCGCCTTCATCTCCCTGGGCCTCACCATCTTCAGTTTCCAGACCAAGGCACGAGCTGACACTGACCACCACTCACTCCCCTGTGTGACCACCACCACTCACCCCCCTGTGTGACCACCACTCACCCCCCTGTGTGACCACCACCACTCACTCCCCTGTGTGACCACCACTCACCCCTCTGTGTGGCCACCACTCCCTCCCCTGTGTGACCACCACTCACTCCCCTGTGTGACCACCACTCACCCCCCTGTGTGACCACCACCACTCACTCCCCTGTGTGACCACCACTCACCCCCCTGTGTGACCACCACCACTCACTCCCCTGTGTGACCACCACTCACCCCCCTGTGTGACCACCACTCACCCCTCTGTGTGACCACCACTCACTCCCCTCTGTGACCACCACTCACCCCCCTGTGTGACCACCACTCACCCCTCTGTGTGACCACCACTCACTCCCCTCTGTGACCACCACTCCCTCCCCTGTGTGACCACCACTCACTCCCCTGTGTGACCACCACTCACCCCCCTGTGTGACCACCACTCACCCCTCTGTGTGACCACCACTCACTCCCCTGTGTGACCACCACCACTCACTCCCCTCTGTGACCACCACTCCCCCCCCTGTGTGACCACCACCACTCACCCCCCTGTGTGATCACCACTCCCCCCCCTGTGTGACCACCACTCACCCCTCTGTGTGACCACCACTCACCCGTCTGTGTGACCACCACTCACCCCTCTGTGTGACCACCACTCACCCGTCTGTGTGACCACCACTCACCCCCTGTGTGACCACCACATTAGCAATGTCATATTAAAGCTCCATAGTAAGCATATGCAGAATAGGCATGGATAAACATATTCGTAGAAATTATCTATTACCCCCATCAGATTATAGTAAAAGTAAATATTAATACATTACCTCACTTGGATTTGTTCTTAAATAAAACATGCTAAATTAAACCAGCTTAATTAAACGTGCAAAATAAAACCAGCTGCTTGTGTTGTGGTTATTGCAAACATGATGCCTTGTATAAAGGTGTCAGTTTTTGTACCAGTTGAAAGGGTAAAACCCTTTTACTAAAACCTGCTATATTAAACCTGCTATAAAAACCTGCTAAATTAAACCTGCTATATTAAACCTGCTATAAAAACCTGCTAAACTAAACCTGCTAAAACAAGGTGGTTGCAGGATCATCAGGGATGTGAAAATTCTCAAACTGATTTCTCTCGTAATCTCATCGAGATCTTTATCCGATGAGGTCCACATTCCATGGACGTGATAGAGACCCGGATCAGGTCCTGGTGGACTGTTGATCCACGTATTCCTGGTTATTACACACGATTTTGTGCAATCACCGAACCCCAATCTTCTCAAGAGAGATACCCACGACCGACATCTCCTGCCACAGACTTCTGCGCCCAGGATGTAACCTCTGTCACTGTTTTGCGGCTGTCATTTGCAGATTGATTTCACGATGAAGTCCGGGATAATGTTCGTGTTTCTCATGGCGCTGCTGTCGTTTGGATTAATGTGCGCCATTCTACGCAGCGACGTGAGTCGTCACCTTACACTGCTTCACGCGCTGCTGATTTGAATAAAATTGTATCCAATGCTGCAACGTCCATCGTATGATATCGGTGTTGTCATTCTTTAACTATTCCACATTCCCGCAGTGATTACCGTATGGTTCGTGTGCTTTCTTTCAGTGGGCCAACATCGCTTATGCCACACTTGGCGCTCTCATCTTTGCAGTCGTAAGTACAGTAGTTGAGAGTATTTGCAAAGTAGGTTTTTTTTTAAGAATACATTTTCATAAAATCCAACAGTTGTAAGCAAAAGAAACCACGCAATTGTGCAACCCAATCAATTTCAAGGACGGTGCATACATTATCAGAGTTGTGTTTTTTTTTGCATTCCGACCGCAGGTATTGTGGTCAATGCAAACATGACTCCTTGTAAAAAAGGTGTCAGTTTTGTTGCCAGATAGAAGGGTAAACAAACAATTATCAACCCACGTTGGTTTTTCTTCATTACGCAACTGCGGAGTTCCATCGCATTACGCGAACGCGCCGTGCGGTTTTGGTGAAGGAATCTATTTTCTATTCGACGAGAATATTCACGGTCACAAACACTTCGCATTGTCTGCGCTTCTCGTGGTTAATAAGCCAAAGACAAGACGAGCCATGTTCCTGATATCGCTAAGAGGCATCCCTCTGTACCAAACGTGTACAGCCTGTCTGTGTGCATGCGACGTGGATGGCACGGCAGCCCAGCCACGAGAATTCGATTCCCGTTCACGGCCATCACCTGAAGCTGCTGTCCTGGGCCTTGCCTTGTCCTCAAATGAGTACCCAGTGCGATGTGTAAACATCACCACTCGTGAGACAAAGGCGGCCAGGCGTGGTGCTGGCCACCCACCCACCCCCTCGTGTGCTGCTACTCACTAGCAGCACGACCGTGGTGAGTGACGCTCTTCTGCGTGCGCGCAGTACCTCGTGATCGACACGCAGCTCATGATGGGAGGGAATCACCGCTACAGCCTGAGTCCCGAGGAGTACATCTTCGCGGCACTCAACCTCTACATCGACATCGTCAGCATCTTCCTCTTCATCCTCACCATCTTCCAGCGGTGAAGTCGGCACCGCCCGAACGAGAGGCGCGTCCTGACGACGTCCACCGTTCGCGATTGTCCTCGAAGGAAATCAACAAATCTGTCCATGTCTCTAAATTTGTCTTATTTCCATTGTTACAAAAAATTATGTTTAGACATTCTATAATTGCAAGTTTAGAGCATAAAACCTATATTTTGGGGTCTTTCGGTAAAGCCACGTCGATAGGTTCAAAGAAAATGCAAAAAACTACGTTCCAGTCTGATGACGACCGCTTGTGTCGCGATGTCGTAGTTTTTTTTATTTTTGCAATTTTCTTTGAACCTATCTACGTGACTTTACCGAAAGACCCAAATAATATGCATTCCTGCAGTCACGAAAGCTTTAAGTCAAGACATAAAACCTACTTTTAAACATTATGATCTGTGGTAATGTAAATAAGTTGTCGCGATGCGCTACTGCAATGAGTGATTATAGTCTCATAATGATCTATTTAGGCGTTTGACATTGATACTTGTGTGGAACATTATTATGGAACATTGTTTACTGTGGGTAGTACTAATCAGGGTTTCTTAACATCGTGCTGAAGCAATTCTACCAATATATTTACGAATGAACTGCAAATATTGATTTCAACTGTGATGAGATTGTGAAATATTGTCTGGGTTTATACGTATGCTTTCACTAGCAACATTGCTTCGCGAACTTGATTTTGTGAGATCACCGCTCCCACCCCCTTGCACGACAGAACACCTCGCTGTGCCACAGACGAGGCCCCTCACGTCCAGACGTCGATCCTCTGTGGCAGGCCCCCTCCGTCTGGAATGTCATCCCGCCACACATTCACAGCAGCATTCAATATACACCAACTTTTAAGAGACACTTAAGGCCCCAACCTCGACCGCCTGGCTTATAAGTGAGACCGCGCTTGGCCCCGTGTCTCAGTCACAATCGTTCCCATTCTCCATGTTATTATAAGACCACAAGGGCTTTCTCCAGTCAGCTGGGATGGAACCAAACTGCCGCATTGCATAAACCACCACCTCCACAACCCCCATCCTTTAGTCCACTCCGCCGCTCGCCACCGGCACTGCACGTGCTGCCCAGTTCAGTCAAAGCAAGCGGAGGGCAGCTCTCATTGTCAGAGCTCTCGTTGCCGGATACACATCACCGCTGCTAAGATGACTCTGCAATACGAGCACCAAATAAAACCTCAAGTATCAATTCACTGCAAGCACACAAGGCATACCAAAACTTGTTTTAATCCATAATACTATTGGAGTGTAAAATATATCAGTTGCACTGCATTGTACATCGGTTAAACATGATTCGTTTCCGCAAATATCACTTTATTATGCAATTCTTTATAAACACAGAACCACAGCTGTGCCTTATCTTTACCCCATATTCTCTATAAACACTGCGGTGCACTCAGCGAGTCATCTGCACCACTCCCTTGCTCAAGCCAGAGTGCTCTCACCCATAACATCTGGTAATCCAGCAGCATGCGTTTACAACAAGATCGACCCTGCTGATGACACCCAAGTTGAAGCCGGCCCAGAGGTTTCTTGCTTCAACAAATTCTGCTTCATAATATTGGGCTGGAAAACCAAGAGGCTGATGGACGTAAAAAGTTTTCAGATTACAAGAGCACATCTGTTTTGATCAAGGTATGCAGGGTGGAGTATGGTGGCCCAGAGTTTGTGCATTTTGCCACTTGTTCCAGAGGTTCGCAATAAGAACCCAGCAGCAGCCCTAGTTATTACTATGGTTTATCAAGCATACAATGCGTGCCGTCTTATTCACAGTGGACGTTATTCGATATGAGGTCATTGACATCGTGGCGGAAATTTACAAAATTCTGATTACCTGCGAATTACTTAATTGGGATTACAACAATCTTCAGAGTATATATTAATTTAGGCCAGGTGCTGAGTCACCTTGAACCCACTGGGACAGCTGCTACTGGGGATGCCCTTTCAAATGCTTGAGATGAAACGTGATGTAAGTACACTCATCACGTATTAAACGCTCCGAGATGCCCGAGGGAAAGGGCACTCTATTAAACAAATTACTATTCTCATTACCTGTACAATATTATATTAATAATCCAATGACCAGTATATGTGCATCATATATATATAACACTACTGTACAAAATAAGAACATGAATCAGTGCTGTCACTGCAAACAAAGGCCCTTTTCCAGAGCAGAGGGCACAAGTATTTGAAGCAGTCACTTCCCAATATCGTAGCCCACAATAAGTACAGCTCTTTGACGTGTTTTTTGGTTGTACCAAGTTGGCAGAATGTTCGTTTCTTCAGTTCCTGAAGGAGCTCCCAGCATGTGCAGCGAACCATCAGATATCGTTCCCAACGGCACGCGGTACAACCCAAAAACGCATTGGAGACCCACATGGCACAACCGCGAAAATCCAGGCAGTAGCACGGTATACATTTCGCACCTCCGATTAGCACGGTTGGCTATGTACGGTGTAAAAGAAGTGAAACATACATACATACAAACATACATTTCTCTCATAAAACCAGTGTGAATAACGGAGGTTTTTCTTTTTTACAAAGGTGTGTGCACCACTGCCAATACAGTCCTGCCAATCATTCGAAATCAGCGAAAATGTCCAGTGGCCAGGCTGGAAGAGAGTTCACTTTGACTCTGCAGGCAGGGAGTCACTTGGCCGAGCCGGCAGCGTTGCTGGGCACCACACCCAGGTTGGTCCACACGAAGCCCCTCTCCGGGCGGATGGGCACCGTGGGGAATGGAGACGACATGCACTTGAAGTACTCGGAGGGCGCGTGGCACACAAACTCAAAGTACTCCATCTTCCTCGGCAGCTCCTCCTCCGGTCCTGATGGGAGATGGCGAGTGCACGAGTTGTAATTAACACGACGATCATTTAAAAAATGCACAAATTGTGTACGACTATGCTGCGATACCCTGTGATCAAATCATATGGAAGACCACCAGTCCCCACGGATCTCTGAAGCAGAATTGAGCCTGGATAGTGCAAGGATGGGTGGCCACCGTGCGTACTTGACAGGTGCAAGTACGCACGTGTGGCGCCCTCACCCAAGATGTAGGTTGCAGGGTCGAAGCAGCCCCGCGGGCTTTCCTGCGTGGGCAGCAACCACGTGATGACGGCGCTCTTCTCGCAGTACTGGTCCTGCAGGAAGCCGCGAAGCTGAGCGTAGTAGAGGCTTCCATCTTCATCCAGCACAGAGACCACGTCTCCAACTTGGTAGTAAACTCCCTGCGGCACGGCACAGAGGGCGAGGAAGGGATTGCTCTGCCACGGCGGTTCAAGTCACTCATCTGCTACAATTCTCCTCTGGGCAGGTTGCGACCAACTACTGTTCAAGGCCTTAGGCTATGCTAGATAACACACATGGTCATGTTTTAGATCAATTACTCAATATAGTAAATATTGGGGCCATGTTATTATTCTAAACAGTAAAATATGGCACCTTTTAATGTCTAGAAATCGCCATTTACGTGTGTTTATTAGTACTCTTGATTCCAGCACTTACGCACTTTCATTTAGGATAAGTTTCTCACTCGGAGAAAATGTTAAAAGTTGGTTTGAAACCCACTCCCCGCACCCACCAATCAATACAAGAGGATCTTTAAGTGTTTGATTGTACATCCCCAAGCGCCTAGAAAACCCAAGAGCTAGAAAATATTCAACCACAATCTCTCGGTGTTTAATCTCACCTCATGGAAAATAGAATCGCTTGTGACAACGGTGGACACGGCTTCCGATGCACGCAGAGGCTGAAACAAAGTGAAGTCACATGTCAAACACTGTATCACTCTCATCGTTTAAAGTTATTGCTCGCGCTCTCTGCAGTGAAACACGTGGTGGAGGAGAAATCACTCCTCCACTCCACGGCAGTTCGGAAAACGTGATCCGTTGAGCTTTAAAAATATATATATTTTCAAGGGAAAATTAGATTATAAAAATACACTAAAAACATATGAATATACATTTCTCAAAACTTTAGCTTGATGTACAATAACTTGAGAAGTGAGATCATTCTGCATAGAATATCAATGAGAGTTCCTAGCGAAAAATGTAAAGGTGTTATCGGTTGATCACAGTTGATTATATGATTTCACAAGGTCAGAGCAGAACAATTTTCATACCAGATTCTTTCTCAATGTCACCTCATCTGTGTTTAATAAAAGTGCATTACCAGTGACGTAAATATCACAAACGTTATGTTACAATGATGTGCAAAGATAGGTAAAAGGAGGTGGTAGTCAGACCATCCGGGTTTGATTTTAAAATGCGACCGCTTTCCGGACGATGGGCTTTAATCGCAACCCGTTAAACAAATTTGCGCCAGTTTTCAAAATGACAAACCCAAGTATCTATTTTACTCAGGATGATGGAGTCTGTACACAACACCGCATGGATGGACGGCGTTGTCTCCAGAGCACGGGGGATGGAGCAGACACGGCAAGGGCGCGTACATGCTTGAGTTTGAAGATGTGGCGTCTGCCCTTGCCCTTGGCAAACACCTTTTTCTCGGCCACTGGCTGCGACTTGGCCTTCGTGTTCCTGAGACGGGCCGAGCGCCGATGAGTCTCCGCTCTTCCCTGCAGACACATCAACCAACAACACACAGTGTGTGTGCATCTGCCATTAGTGGGGAGCGGTGGGTGCAGCGGTTAGCGCTCTGCGCTATGAACCCGGCAACCCCAGTTCGATTCCCGCTCACGGCCAACACCAGTAACGATTATCTGAACCGGTTATGGGCCTGCCCTAGGTCGACTCAGCCTCAAATGAGTACCTGGTGCGGTGTGTAAACATCACCACTAGGGAGACAAAGGCGGCCGGGCGTGGTGTTGGCCACCCACCCACTCGTGTGTCGTGCCGGCCTTCATAGGTGCTCGCTAACAGCACTTGCCCCTACAGTCTGTTACAGGCTACACGGGGCATCTTTGTCCTTTGCATCTGCCATCTCTGTGGCTAATGAGTCAGATATAATCAAAGGGACTCCCAGAGGCCGTGCCATTGCCTGCAACGTTGACCTCGCGTATATCGTGTGTAGTGTGTATATCGTGTATAGTGTGTAGTTCGTGTGTATAGATTGTGTATGTCGTGTATAGTGTGTATATCGTGTATAGTGTGTATATCGTGTATAGTGTGTAGTTCGTGTGTATAGTGTGTAGTTCGTGTGTATAGATTGTGTATGTCGTGTATAGTGTGTATGTCGTGTATAGTGTGTATATCGTGTATATCGTGTATAGTGTGTAGTTCGTGTGTATAGATTGTGTATGTCGTGTATAGTGTGTATATATTGTGTATACCGTGTATATGTTGTGTATACTGTGTATATCGTGTATATTGTGTATATATTGTGTATACTGTGTATATCGTGTATATTGTGTATATCGTGTATATATTGTGTATGTATGCTGTGTATACTGTGTATGTTGATGTTTTGACGCAATGCACGAGAGGGTCCTGGTGAAGGCAGTCAAGACAAGGCACTGTACAGACACTGTACAAACACTGTACAGACACCATGCAGTCGAGACGAGACACTGTACAGGGACTGTACAGACACTGTACAGACGAGACACTGTACAGACGAGACGAGACACTGTACAGACGTGGCACTGTACAGACACCCTGCAGTCGAGGCGAGGCAACTGGGGGGGGGGTCTGGGCTTCGGGCTACGAAGAGAGACCGTGGGGCACGGGGGGGGGGTAGGCACGGGGGGGGGCAGGGGGGCACGGGGGGGGGGCAGGGGGGGCACGGGGGGGGGGCACGTCCTGCACGCCGCTGCGCTGCGACTCACCTGGCGCCCTCCTCCACCGCCTCCACCCCCGCCGCCGCCGCCTCCTCCACCACCGCCCCCGTTGGTTCTGGGGGGCCCTGGAGACGCGGGGGGCCCCGGCGCGGGGCGGCTGGTGCAGCCCTGGCACAGAACCTCGCCCTGGAGGCCGCGGCGCCACATGGGGGAGGCGCACACCCCGCACGCACTGCAGCTCGGCTTCAGGCCCAGCGGCATGGCGCCTACACTCACTCACTGAGCCAGAGCCCCTCCACCCACTGAGCCAGAGGCTCCTCCCCCCACTGAGCCAGAGGCTCCTCCCTCCACTGAGCCAGAGCCCCCCACTGAGCCAGAGCCCCCCACTGAGCCAGAGCCCCCCACTGAAGGGTCCCGGGCGCGACTCGCCGCGTCCCGCGAGTCGCGCGCTCTCCGCCTCTCTCCCTGCACCGCCGCGCACTCGCCTGGCGCTGCTGCTGCTGTTGTGATTGTTGTTGTTGTTATTGTTGCTGTGTCGCTGTGTGCGTGTTTATAGAAATCGACTGGCGTCTCCGACCCCGACACGCTGCGTGCGCCGTGCCCCCCACTAGGCCGTCCTGGGCGTGTGTGTGCCCCCCACTAGGCCGTCCTGGGCGTGTGTGTGCCCCCCACTAGGCCGTCCTGGGCGTGTGTGTGCCCCCCACTAGGCCGTCCTGGGCGTGTGTGTGCCCCCCACTAGGCCGTCCTGGGCGTGTGTGTGCCCCCCCGCCCACGCGGAACAGGAATCTGTTTTAGAAAGAGCGATTTCGATTCCGTGATCAACCCCCAGCTCAATCCCGTGCTCAAAGCCATCGAACAGATCGATCCCATCCATCCTCGACCCGGATCCAAAGCTGGTGAAATAATGTTCTTAAGAAGGCCGTGTTGCTGATGGGATGTGTAAAGCATAACTGCATTTATGTGGAGGGACAGATCTATGCGAAAGAAGCGTGCAGAGTCTGCGTAACCAATTTTATTACCGTCAGAGAGTAGATTGGGACCGCACATTTCGGAATCGATAATGGAACCTTATTGCGATTCCGCGTGTACATGCGGTGTTGTTTCATCGGTTAATACGCCTCCTGTTTGTGGCCACCAGCGTGGATTATGCCTCCTTGTCAATAGCATAGAATCATAACGGTCAAAATCTATTGAATCTGAGTGAATAATTCCCACCACAGCACGCACATGGAGCCAAACAGATTGGAGTTTATTTTTTAAATCGTGACGAGGAATCGTTACTGAATGAATCGTGGAGAGGGTGAATCCGACACGGATTCTGTCATTCTAGATTTGAAGCTTTCGTGACTGCAAGGATTCATACTCTTAGGTTTTTTCGGTAAAGTCACGTAGGTTAAATTTTTTTAATAAAATGGTGATTTAATTGATTTATTATTTTATTTATATTATTATTTTATTTTTTACCTACGTGACTTTACCGAAAGAACCAAGAATATGAATCCTTGCAGTCACGAAATCTTTAAATCAAAATTTGGTTGAAGAATGTAAATAATTGTCATATGTTAATAAGGGCCACTTCTCAAGGGCTGCGCACTTCGATTCAAGTGTCCATTTTCTGTTCTGCCATTTCGTGGTCACCTTTCACTCCAACACGTGTTTAAGTCTGACAGTCCTGCCTCAAGCACAACGTGCTGCGGGCGTGTGGCAACTCCATTGTCGTGGTAGGTCGCTAACTCCACTTACCCCTGCAGTCCAGGAAAGTGTGGCATGGTGGGTCAATTGCTGTTCGACGATGCTGGTGACCTGAGTCAGATCCCAGGTCACGAAATAAAGGTCTGCGCGATTTCCTTAAGTGAGTTTGAGGAGGTGCTCATCTCTTTACAGTCGCGAGCCGGGAGTTGAAATTCTGCATTCCTACCGCTGCAGCGAGCCTATCCCCAGGATAAACAATATTGATTTTCCGACAAAGTTGTGCTCATTTTTGGAGTACAATGACCCTAAAAACGATTACTCATGAGACAAGTCAATCCCCAACCAGGATTTGAACTCACAGCCTTTTGTTTTGCCGAGCCGATGTCTTTACCGCTGAGCTACCCGTTGTTGAGTCGGCAGTCCATGTGTATCTGGTGAAGTGAGTGAACATCGCCACTGGGAGACTCGGCGTATTTGACACACACGCTACTTGTGTTCCACCCATTACAGTGCGCTTAACACTGGGGACTTGGATTTAAACAGGTTTTTATTTTTATTTTTTGTGAAAAGTCTCATCACCAATCAAATAAAAAAAATACTTTTACAAATTTCCAGATAATAAGCATATCATTATTAATACTGTGTTCAATTTTTTTTACCAAGATTTATATCGATACAAATATTGCCAATATGGCCGACAATAGCCAGATTGATAGCATTTAATGAAAATGTTAAACACCGTGTGTCCTGATTAGTGAATACATGTAATGACTATAATAATTGAACATTTAACTACAATATTTCTTGTTAGTCATGTGCAAAATGTTACGTAAATTAAAATTTCTGCAAAAATATCAATGTCTGATTTGTTACATTGCATTCAGTTAAAACATTAAGCTTAGCTATATGTGCTTGGGTTATGTGACGGAGCGTGCCTTATGTGAGCCATTGCAAGATGCACTTCTCGAACGTGTAGCGATCAAAGGGAAACTGCAAGTGGCGCACGTATGGCACGACACACTTGGTGAGGTTCCCAGCTTCATCCAAAGTGCGCAGTCCAAACGAGTCCTGGGTATACACCTAGAGATTTCACGCACACACGCTCAGGATATTTCAAAATATACACACAGCAGTGTTTAAAATCCCTGCAACATTGTTAAAAGTACTTGTGTGAAATGTGTAAGACGCCAGGAAGGGCGATAGTAGCATCGTTATGGATGTGAGTGCTTCACAATGTATGTTTGTGTGAACCTGGAAGTCAAACGGGTGTCCAAACTTGTACAGGAATGGTCAACATTGACATGTGTGGACATTTTATTTTCCATTGGGCATTGTTCTGTACACCGAAGCCAGATCATTGTAAACCACTTTGGCAAGAGGGTAAACTCCTTCCTGGCTGTGGTAAGTTCTATTGGTCCCTTCTGGGAAATGGCAAAGCTTTTTAAAATTGTTCCTCATAAACAAAATGTTTCCTTAAAAACAACACCATTCAATTTAGCAGTTAATTAAAATATTTTAATAATTATTAGATTCAGTGCAATGTTTACATTGTGCATAAAACTGCGGCGGCATTTTATGCTACTGTAATTAATATTCACTGTTGCTTCGTTGCATAGAGTGGAAATGAAACGCTGCGGATAACAATGCAACAGACGATACCTCCTGCGCTGTCATGCCCAAGATCCCCAGATGTTCGTCATACGTCTCAAAGAAACTGTGGATATATTGAACAGAAAAGGAAGGTTGCCTCATTCAACAAGATGGTGAACACTTACCGAAACGATAACCTTCACACACGGCGCTAGCCGCATTAAAATACTGCACACACTTATTCAGTTTTATTTATTAAAAATTATATCTCATATATGATGGCAGTTACTGGCGAAAATTCGTACTATAAATATATTGTGGGTTTATTCTCCAACACACCGGTGTGCTGTACTCGTAACGAATTCGTTTACGTGACAACCCTTACTAATTGGCTGTGTCGGGTGGTGGCGAGTTTAACGACACATTTACATGTACGTGAGCTAACCCACAACACCTCTATCATGGATAATATTGGTCGCGAAGGCGATGTTTGTGTTTTTCCCCTCACTCAGATCGCATCGTTGGTCACTCATGTGTAAAACATTTCTCGTCAGGACGAGGACTCCTCCCTTCATTATCATCATCATCAAAGGCAAGCACCATTTAAATAAGAGCACAAACATGCATTGAATAATGTTGTCATTGCAAGTGATGTGGAATTATCCAAGAGACAGTGCAACTGTTAGGTCACTTTTGCACGTTAGTACACCACACGTGAAATAACCCCCACTTTGATCAGTGCTCATTCGCACGTTCGGTCGGTAAAAGTCTCGTCCCGAACCCTCCCAGTAGTGCAGTTCGCGTCGAGCTGTGCAGAGTCCGGGCACCACCACCCCCCCACAACCTCCACCACCCCCACAACCTCCACCACCACCACAACCTCCACCACCCCCACAACCTCCACCACCACCAACCCCACCACCACAACCTCCACCACCACCACCACCACCAACCCCACCTCCACCACCACCACCACTAACCCCAACAGGGCCCTCACCACCCTCACCACCACCAACCCCACCACCCTCACCACCCCACCACCCCCACCACCACGAACCCCACCACCCCCACAACCCCACCACCCTCACCACCCCACCACCCCCACCACCACGAACCCCACCACCCCCACAACCCCACCACCCTCACCACCCCCACCACCCCACCACCCTCACCACCCCCACCACCACTAACCCCATCAGGGCCCTCACCACCCTCACCACCACCACCACCACCCCCACCACCCCACCACCTCACCACCCTCACCGCCACCAACCCCACCCTCACCACCCCACCACCCCCACCACCACGACCCCCACCTGGGCCCCACCACCCTCACCACCACCAACCCCACCTCCACCACCCCCACCACCCTCACCACCCTCACCACCACCACCACCACCCCCACCACCCTCACCACCACTAACCCCACCGGGGCCCTCACCTGGACTGCCACGGCATCACCACATCCTCGCCAGGTCCCCCGACCATCACCAGGTTGTTGATGCGCAGGAAGTTTCTCTTCCACGCTGCAGGGTCCGCGCGTGTCAAGCGCGAACATTAATCTCTTGTTGATGCAAACACTTGGAGTCGTGTTTGTGCGACATTTGAAACGAATTTCTCAAACCGATTGAGACCTTCCCTCCCAATGCGGTGTTGGCCATCTGCGATGCCAGCGCAGCCTGCCATCAGGGCTGCACCACCCTGCGGGACTGTTCGCACTGCCTCTTACCCCAGATGACACAGAGGACAGGGAGGTTTCAGTACCAGGCCTTGTATCATTCCGCCTAGACCTATTTACTAATATATTATTGGTGCTTTCGGTAAAGTCACGTAAAGATTTAAGTCACTATATACTACTATGATGAGCCAAGAATGTCTGTGTGTCCCGCGTGTGACGTCACTCCATGTCGACCAGACATCGAAGTAAAAACGACGTCTTGATGAACGAGGGATTATAACCTTCACATGAAATAAGGCTGTGTCACCGCGCCCTTACAAATTGCACACGACTGGATGCAATGAATATCACGTCGCGGTCTGCTCTGCGCTTGCAAGTCTCAGATTTACTGCAATACACCCGTCCTTGGACTGGAAAAAGGCGAGTTTTCTATATTTTTGCAGATAAAGCAAGGTCAATATGTGGAATGCAAGAAAAAAACAGATTACGTTGACCACAGTGACGATAAGAAATTTGAATACGAAAGTTGAATATAAGTGTGGTACATTCGCTTGGGTTATCAATGTGCTGGAAACATATATGTAGAGAAAATGTAGAGAACATGTAGAGAACATGTGGAGAACATGTAGAGAACATGTAGAGAACATGTCGAGAACATGTAGAGACCATGTAGAGAACATGTCGAGAACATGTGGACTCTGTACTGCGTGTCCATGTAAGGTTATATAATCGTCCAGCAGCCTATGGGGTCTGTGAAGCAATGTTGTGGCAGTTGTACCAGGCACCTGGCAGCATCTGTTTAACAGGACGCGCTCTGCTGGTGAGACTCAGAATTGTAAACAGTCCAGGGGTGGTCGTGCGGCTTCAACAAAGAGCAGCAGGGAAAGACGGATTCCGAGGTTTGCAAAGATTTATGGGAGTAAAATATTATATAATCATAATGTGCTAAAACAGACGCATGTCTGTTTATTTTATTTCTATTCCCACCAATCCATCATCGCAGTATATCTTGCAGTTTGTGTAACGTCTAAGTATATACACACATGCATTAATAATTATTGTGTAAACATACATATTTTGATGAATTTTCTTGTACCATTATTTCTTCTAAAATGAACAGCTTCAAAACATACGATTTCCAATTTTTAATTGTGTAACTATATAAATATGTTAGGGATCCTAATATCTTGCATTGTAAAATCTGAGTTGGAGCTCATCTCGAACTCGGAAGTTATGAAACGCAGAGAGTTTTGGTAGAATTCGCATCAGCAAGGGAGGAGGAAGGCCGTGGCAGATGACATTCGTGATGTATACGTACACAACTCTCTCCCTTTCATAACCAGTCTCAATTCCTCCACACGTCTGTGCTTCTGCTATGCAGCGAGTGGCAAGCACAACTATTGGTTGCATAACAGGGGAAGTTTATGGTGCCGTATTTAACCAAATTGCCATTTCTCTGATACAATCTTAATACAAACTTGTTCCAAAGCAGTAAAGTACATATTGCGTTAAATCGATTTTGGAATAAATGTGATATCCAAGATGATTACATTACTGCTGTTTACACTTGCACGATGCTAAAGATTGAATGAAACACATTGTACGGATATCTGGCTTAACTCGGATGTATGATGTTGCAGGAAAGTGTTTCAGTGAACAGCGACGTCATACCGTCGGCGTGAGGGCTGTGCGTCTGGTTGTTGATAACTGCCAGGAACTTGCTGTTTGTCTCAAATTTCTCTTGATGAAGAGGATCTGGACACAATTATACAATTGCAACTCACACCTACAAGTTGAACATACCGTCAGTCGCTTTCAATAATCAGACGCGTAATCCGTCAAGTACTCAGTCGATATGCCGGTGATGATCCCCTGCCACCAGTCCCAGCACGGGGTCTCGTGAATTCTGACTTGAGATTAAAATATATTTACCTTGTTTATGCATTGTTTGTGCCGTCTTGTCTCGACTGCCTTAGCTGCACCAACTGTCTTGTTTGTGTTGTCTTGTTTGTGTTGTTTGTGTTGTCTTGTTTGTGTTGTTTGTGTTGTCGTGTTTGTGTTGTCTTGTTTGCAGTCTCACTGATGTCCGTCTTGTCTCTGCTACCCATTTTCTTCTTGCAGGAATAAAGTAAAAACAAGTCAGGTGATGCTCAGTCTGATGCACGTCAACGTGAGCATAATAATCGATTCTAATTGATGAATGGTTACACACCTGCCAGTAGGTAACTCACAAGGCGTCAGCAACCACGACATAGGCGTGAGAATCCCACGCGCGTCGCCACCGCACGGAGAGGGCCACGTGTGCGTGGCCGGCTCACCGTTCCAGTAGTTGCATATGGAGAGGCGCTGCCCAAGGCCGTTGTAGCAAATGTTGTGGACGTGCGTCCTGGCCATCGGCAAGGCCTTCTGGAACAAAGCTGGAACTGCAGAGGAGAGAGATTGCGTGTTTGGGGAGAGAGAGAGAGGAGAGAGAGACGGAGATGAGGACGGTGGTGGCACTCCGAGCCGTCGCGTTTGCGTCGGTGAACCCCGCACGGTGACCCCGGCGAGGAATCGACGCGCGCCTCTGGCACATTTACCTCCGTACTGCCCCATCTGCGGGGACGCGAGCGAGATGAAGGTGTCCACGTTGTGAAGAGACAGCAGAGACAGCGCCGCTCGACACAGCAGGCCTCCTGGTCGGGCGAGGGTGGGAAACCATCGGCGTCACGTCCACAGGAGTGGCTCCCCTCTCTCTCTCTCTCTCACTAAACACAGCAACCTTCGCTGACGGCCAGCCACGGCGCATCGTCTCGTGCGTCAGAATGACCTGGGCTGAACATCTCGAGGTGATGTCTTTGCAAAAGAGTCGCGAACTAAATACAGAGACGGGGCGAGAGCAGTCGCCTTCACTCCATCACAGACAGCGCGTGGAGGGGCATCGCATCCTCTCACATCACGACGACGTTTAACTTTCAACGTCATCCTGTCTCATCATGTGCAGATGGCGTGGTGAGCACCTTGTGAGTAGCAGAGGAGATGCACACCCTGGGGAGCGCGGCTCATGATGGGCTGCATCTTGTGGATGAGGCCCCGCGCCTGATCCCACATGGGGGCCAGGCTCCTGTAGCCGTCGTAGAGGCTGATGGTCGACACCTCCGTGCCCGGGTGCGCCTGGGCCCACACGAACCGTCGGACAAGGCACGCGACTTGTCACTGATGCGCGTTGATAACAGCTGAAGGGAGCCCGCCGCTTCACAGCTTCAACGCGGGTGCACGTGTGCAGCAGATGTGTGCGTCTCGCATCGTGCGCAGCCAATCATGCTCATCGGAAGCGCGGGAGAAGGACAGCACAAATACGGTTCTAAATAAATTAGATTTCAATCTAGATTTTAAAACGCAATGCTCCAGTGACATCCTAATATCGGATGCAAGAGCGTTCCAGACGGCCACAGAAGCGCATCTGAAAGCGCCACGCGATGCAGTGGCCGCCGGCTTTGTTCGATTTCCAGCCAAAAGCAGCTGCGAGGATGGCCGCAGTGTGCGTGATGGTTTATGCTCCGTGACGACACCAGCGAGGTGCTGCGGTGAATTCGTGACAAGCACTTCGCGTGGAATGAGTGCGACCTTGCCACGTGTTCGCTCAGCAACCGGCAAAAGTGGACCGCCACATCCTAACAAGGAAAAACACTCTTCACACTCGTCAAAAGAAACACTCTTCACACTCGTCAGTAGAAACACTCGTTAGTAGAAACACTCTTCATACTCGTCAGCAGAAACACTCTTCACACTCGTCAGTAGAAACACTCCTCACACTCGTCAGTAGAAACACTCTTCACACTCGACAGTGGAAACACTCGTCAGTAGAAACACTCCACACACTCGGCAGTAGAAACACTCTTCACACTCGTCAGTAGAAACACTCGTCAGTAGAAACACTCCTCACACTCATCAGTAGAAACACTCTTCACACTCGACAGTGGAAACACTCGTCAGTAGAAACACTCCACACACTCGGCAGTAGAAACACTCTTCACACTCGTCAGTAGAAACACTCTTCACACTCGTCAGTAGAAACACTCTTCACACTCGCCATTAGAAACACTTTTCACACTCGTCAAAAGAAACACTCTCCACACTCGTCAGTAGAAACACTCTTCACACTCGTCAGTAGAAACACTCTTCACATTCGTCAGTAGAAACACTCTTCACACTCGTCAGTAGAAACACTCTTCACACTCGTCAGTAGAAACACTCCTCACACTCGTCAGTAGAAACACTCCTCACACTCGTCAGTAGAAACACTCGTCAGTAGAAACACTCTTCACACTCGTCAGTAGAAACACTCCTCACACTCGTCAGTAGAAACACTCTTCACATTCGTCAGTAGAAACACTCTTCACACTCGTCAGTAGAAACACTCGTCAGTAGAAACACTCTTCACACTCGTCAGTAGAAACACTCCTCACACTCGTCAGTATTAACACTCCTCACTTGTCAGTAGAAACACTCTTCACACTCGTCAGTAGAAACACTCTTCACACTCGTCAGTAGAAACACTCCTCACACTCGTCAGTAGAAACACTCTTCACACTCTTCAGTAGAAACACTCTTCACACTCGTCAGTAGAAACACTCTTCACACTCGTCAGTAGAAACACTCTTCACGCTCGTCAGTAGAAACACTCTTCACACTCGTCAGTAGAAACACTCTTCACACTCGTCAGTAGAAACACTCGTCAGTAGAAACACTCTTCACACTCGTCAGTAGAAACACTCTTCACACTCGTCAGTAGAAACATTCGTCAGTAGAAACACTCGTCAGTAGAAACACTCTTCACATTCGTCAGTAGAAACACTCCTCATACTCGTCAGTAGAAACACTCTTCACACTCGTCAGTAGAAACACTCTTCACGCTCGTCAGTAGAAACACTCTTCACACTCGTCAGTAGAAACACTCTTCACACTCGTCAGTAGAAACACTCCTCACACTCGTCAGTAGAAACACTCTTCACACTCGTCAGTAGAAACACTCCTCACACTCGTCAGTAGAAACACTCGTCAGTAGAAACACTCTTCACACTCGTCAGTAGAAACACTCGTCAGTAGAAACACTCTTCACACTCGTCAGTAGAAACACTCCTCACACTCGTCAGTAGAAACACTCTTCACACTCGTCAGTAGAAACACTCCTCACACTCGTCAGTAGAAACACTCGTCAGTAGAAACACTCTTCACACTCGTCAATAGAAACACTCGTCAGTAGAAACACTCTTCACACTCGTCAGTAGAAACACTCCTCACACTCGTCAGTATTAACACTCCTCACTCGTCAGTAGAAACACTCTTCACACTCGTCAGTAGAAACACTCTTCACACTCGTCAGTAGAAACACTCTTCACACTCTTCAGTAGAAACACTCTTCACACTCGTCAGTAGAAACACTCTTCACACTCGTCAGTAGAAACACTCTTCACGCTCGTCAGTAGAAACACTCTTCACACTCGTCAGTAGAAACACTCTTCACACTCGTCAGTAGAAACACTCGTCAGTAGAAACACTCTTCACACTCGTCAGTAGAAACACTCTTCACACTCGTCAGTGGAAACATTCGTCAGTAGAAACACTCGTCAGTAGAAACACTCTTCACATTCGTCAGTAGAAACACTCCTCATACTCGTCAGTAGAAACACTCTTCACACTCGTCAGTAGAAACACTCTTCACACTCGTCAGTAGAAACACTCTTCACACTCGTCAGTAGAAACACTCCTCACACTCGTCAGTAGAAACACTCTTCACACTCGTCAGTAGAAACATTCGTCAGTAGAAACACTCGTCAGTAGAAACACTCTTCACATTCGTCAGTAGAAACACTCCTCATACTCGTCAGTAGAAACACTCTTCACACTCGTCAGTAGAAACACTCTTCACACTCGTCAGTAGAAACACTCCTCACACTCGTCAGTAGAAACACTCGTCAGTAGAAACACTCTTCACACTCGTCAATAGAAACACTCGTCAGTAGAAACACTCTTCACACTCGTCAGTAGAAACACTCCTCACACTCGTCAGTATTAACACTCCTCACTCGTCAGTAGAAACACTCTTCACACTCGTCAGTAGAAACACTCTTCACACTCGTCAGTAGAAACACTCCTCACACTCGTCAGTAGAAACACTCTTCACACTCTTCAGTAGAAACACTCTTCACACTCGTCAGTAGAAACACTCTTCACACTCGTCAGTAGAAACACTCTTCACGCTCGTCAGTAGAAACACTCTTCACACTCGTCAGTAGAAACACTCTTCACACTCGTCAGTAGAAACACTCGTCAGTAGAAACACTCTTCACACTCGTCAGTAGAAACATTCGTCAGTAGAAACACTCGTCAGTAGAAACACTCTTCACATTCGTCAGTAGAAACACTCCTCATACTCGTCAGTAGAAACACTCTTCACACTCGTCAGTAGAAACACTCTTCACACTCGTCAGTAGAAACACTCTTCACACTCGTCAGTAGAAACACTCTTCACACTCGTCAGTAGAAACACTCTTCACACTCGTCAGTAGAAACACTCTTCACACTCGTCAGTAGAAACACTCCTCACACTCGTCAGTAGAAACACTCGTCAGTAGAAACACTCTTCACACTCGTCAGTAGAAACACTCCTCACACTCGTCAGTAGAAACACTCTTCACACTCGTCAGTAGAAACACTCCTCACACTCGTCAGTAGAAACACTCGTCAGTAGAAACACTCTTCACACTCGTCAGTAGAAACACTCGTCAGTAGAAACACTCTTCACACTCGTCAGTAGAAACACTCCTCACACTCGTCAGTAGAAACACTCTTCACACTCGTCAGTAGAAACACTCCTCACACTCGTCAGTAGAAACACTCGTCAGTAGAAACACTCTTCACACTCGTCAGTAGAAACACTCTTCACACTCGTCAGTAGAAACACCCCTCACACTCGTCAGTAGAAACACTCGTCAGTAGAAACACTCTTCACACTCGTCAGTAGAAACACTCTTCACACTCGTCAGTAAGACTGCATTAATGAGAAGGTTGTGGTTCGGGAACCACGTTGAGGTTTTTGAACGCGTAGCTCATCACGTCTGATAACACAAACCACAGTGCATACTAAATATCATCATCATACATTACGTACAAATCAAAAAACATCGTAAAAAAACTAAACAGATATATCCTCTCAAAATGTCATCTCAACTGCGCCCAAGGTGATGATGGAGCAGCGGAGTGGACCGCCGTGCCCAGAGGGACGCGCTCTCTCACCTGCTCGATTCTTCGTGCCATCACGAGGAAGTTGCACGGTTTGCCGAACAAGCCGTGAACGATGACGATCGGCTTGTATGCAGCAGTAGCGGCGACAAAGGCACTTAGGCCAAACAGTGTCACACTCACGATGAACTTACTGCCGGAGAACATGGCCCTGGAATTAGACTTCATGGTGGCACAACAGCGTGCATTTAAATGCATTCACCAAAACAAACAGGACAGCTCAGCGAAGCTGACCGTGCATTGAGGACTTGGAGTTGGCTGCTCGAATTTATACCCTGCCTGAGAGGAACTCGTTTGCTGCTGCTGCTACTGTGGTATGTGAGCAGGGCGGGGTGGGGAGATTCTTTCTCGGATGTTGCTGCAGCGTCTTAATGAGGGTGGAATTGAGATTGGAATTTTCCAGTCTACAATGTTTAGCCATAATTTTAGGCCACATGACCAGGAAACGCTCGCGGCGGCGAATCTCTCGACAATCGCGCACATGTTGTTGTCATGATCGCGTTCACATGTGATTCGATTAATCAACATAAACGTGTCAAGAACCAGACAGCTCGACGGAGGTGAGAAGGTCGTGGAGCCGGCGTCCTGGCTGACATCCCGGTGCCGGGTCTGGTGAGTTTCAGCTGCCCGTGATTAGAACCAGACTGTCAACTGGAGCACGCGAAAAATGCGTCTCATTACATTTGGTCTGTAGCTGGATATTACATGCTGATGGACCATAACGACCAACCACGGATGTGTCTCTATTGCTGTGTACCTCTTGTGGTGTCTATGATCGGCCGATACTCCCTTTCTGTGCATACCTCGATCTCGGTTGCGTTCTTGGGGTGATCGGGAGCTTTACTACGGTGACCCCCGCCCCCCCCCCCCCAGGTGTGGAACTCCCTCCTGGTGACCCCCCCAGGTGTGGAACTCCCTCCTGGTGGTGCCGTTCGAGTCCAGGCTCTCCACCAGTGCTAATATATTTAGCTGCCTACTAAACACACCGATCTGTTTAAGTTAGATTTGCCTCTAATTCGCGTTGTTCTTCTCTGGCATGCACGGTGCCCGACAACTCTCTTGTGAAAGGCGCCTTCTCAGTGTGCATTAGTATGACGAGCGCATGATGCTTTCATGGAGTAGTGTCGACGAGAAGATTGAGCAGTGTTTGACAGCGTACAAAAACATATTTTGTTTAATTTTAAAAACATCTTATTTTACTCTTCGCTTGTGTTTTACTGTCACTTTACACGAAGCCGACACGAGCCATGAGCTAAGAACGGGGGGAGATTCGGGAAAATGTATCACGATCATTAATCATCGTTTTTTTTATGGCGTATGAACTTGAATGTGAAATGTGTTGTGCCAAAATGTTGGTTTGTAGCAATGATAAAAAAAAACAGAGAAATGTTCCCTGCCATGAACATATAATAATCAAACAAAACTATTCTAATTGAATCTAAGATACTATCGCTGTAAGATTTTTTCCCACCGTTTATAGGCTAGCCAGGCACCAAATCGAGTAAACATTGTTCAATGCTTGTGGGAGAACAGCGGCCTAATGCTCCGTTGCAAAAGACGTTCAAGATACTTAAAACTATGCTATAAGTAAGCAAACAATATAGCAGTGTCATTGTGTATGTACGTGGGTGTTGTGTGTGGTGGCGTACACAGCACGATACTATTATTATTATTACTATAAAATCATTATCTTTATCAGCCATGCTCCATCCGCTGCTGGATGGAGCTTTCCCCGTGCCCATTGAGAAGCCGGCGAGGGAGGCGAGGGACGAGCTTGTGTCGCAAGCTCCAGCCGCCTCCACGTGTGCACGGGGTGGGTGTCGAGCCCTGTGCACGGGGTGGGTGTCGAGCCCTGTGCACGGGGTGGGTGTCGAGCCCTGCGCACGGGGTGGATGTGCACGTGCCGCAGTTGACTTGAACGCCGGCGTACGGCCGATTTCAACTCAATTGAATTAAATCTACAAATGTGTAACTCATTAATTGATATTACATGCAATCCATTGTTTAGTTCATCAAAGCGTGTGAGAATAAGTTGTGCTGTACTATGGGGACCTCATTTGCCAGTAAAAATATGATAATTGGTTCTTTACCCTTCTATCTGGCAACAAAACTGACACCTTTTTGCAAGGAGTCATGTTTGCATAGACCGCAATACCTGCAGTCATAAATACAAACAAAAGACATAACTCTGATAATGTGCACTGTCCTTGAAGTTGATTGGTCCACACCCGAGACAGCTTTCCTTCGAGCCTAGTCTCATATGGGTTGGACCAGATGACGCCAAAAGGCGCACAACTCAAGGACAATGCACCATCAGAGTATGAGAGCTCGGGGCAAGCATCTACACTATGGGGACCTCATTTGCCAGTAAAAATATGATAATTGGTTCTTTACCCTTCTATCTGGCAACAAAACTGACACCTTTTTGCAAGGAGTCATGTTTGCATAGACCGCAATACCTGCAGTCATAAATACAAACAAAAGACATAACTCTGATAATGTGCACTGTCCTTGAAGTTGATTGGTCCACACCCGAGACAGCTTTCCTTCGAGCCTAGTCTCCTTGCAAAAAGGTGTCAGTTTTGTTGCCAGATAGAAGGGTAAAGAACCAATTATCATATTTTTACTGGCAAATGAGGTCCCCATAGTGTAGATGCTTGCCCCGAGCTCTCATACTCTGATGGTGCATTGTCCTTGAGTTGTGCGCCTTTTGGCGTCATCTGGTCCAACCCATATGAGACTAGGCTCGAAGGAAAGCTGTCTCGGGTGTGGACCAATCAACTTCAAGGACAGTGCACATTATCAGAGTTATGTCTTTTGTTTGTATTTATGACTGCAGGTATTGCGGTCTATGCAAACATGACTCCTTGCAAAAAGGTGTCAGTTTTGTTGCCAGATAGAAGGGTAAAGAACCAATTATCATATTTTTACTGGCAAATGAGGTCCCCATAGTGTAGATGCTTGCCCCGAGCTCTCATACTCTGATGGTGCATTGTCCTTGAGTTGTGCGCCTTTTGGCGTCATCTGGTCCAACCCATATGAGACTAGGCTCGAAGGAAAGCTGTCTCGGGTGTGGACCAATCAACTTCAAGGACAGTGCACATTATCAGAGTTATGTCTTTTGTTTGTATTTATGACTGCAGGTATTGCGGTCTATGCAAACATGACTCCTTGCAAAAAGGTGTCAGTTTTGTTGCCAGATAGAAGGGTAAAGAACCAATTATCAAGTTGTGCTGTGTTTTGAATTGTATCGATTTTACTCCAAGGAACGTCTTACGTCGTGATGTGTCACGATTCTTGTAACCACTCTCGATAGACCACGCCACTTAGGACCAACAAGACGTCGATCAATGCTGTTCTGCAACTTTGTTAGACTTAAACCATATTATTATGTATTCTATCACATTTTATCTTGGATTTCTTTCTTGTCCTGAAATACTGAAAATCCATCTCCACGCTCTCACAAGGATGTGTCACCGTTTGACGAACGTGTGTGCAAGCTGCACATCATCATCATCACTGCAGTCGTCACAGCCATTAAACTCACTACGTAAGGGCGGTCCAGATGTCTTGTGACCCACAATTGATTAACCCCAAAATAGACTTTATCGAAAGAACCAACGTTTTTCATTGCACATGAATTTATGTTTAAAATGAACCATACTTTAAAAAATATATTACGTTTAAGAGAATGAATTGGGGTCACAAGACATCTGGACCACTCTGTAGAGTGTCTCTATCATTGTTGGTTCCTAATGAGACACGTCGTTAGAGTAACACCTCTCATTGTCCACTGCTCATTCGTGTGTTTTATTTTTCACGAAAAAAGGCAAATGTCACTGTGGTCGGAGCATCTTTCCCCTTTTGTCCGAGCTTCAGATTTCTCTTCCCGCTTGTGCGCAGATTGCGTGAAGCCACAGTCAGGCAGCAGGCAGCAGGAAAGCCGCAGTCAGGCAGCAGGCAGCAGGCAAGCCGCAGCAGGCAGCAGGTAACAGGCAGCAGGCAAGCCGCAGTCAGGCAGCAGGCAGCCGGCAGCAAGCAAGCCCCAGTTAGGTAGCAGGCAGCAGGCAACAGGCAGCAGGCAAGCCCCAGTCAGGCAGCAGGCAGTAGGTAACAGGCAGCAGGCAATCCGCAGCAGGCAAGCCGCAGCAGGCAGCAGGCAACAGGCAGCAGGCAATCCGCAGCAGGCAGCAAGCAGCAGGCAGCAGGCAGCAGGCAAGCCGCAGCAGGCAGCAGGCAGCAGGCAGCAGGCAACAGGCAGCAGGCAATCCGCAGCAGGCAGCAAGCAGCAGGCAGCAGGCAGCAGGCAGCAGGCAAGCCGCAGCAGGCAGCAGGCAGCAGGCAGCAGGCAACAGGCAGCAGGCAATCCGCAGCAGGCAGCAAGCAGCAGGCAGCAGGCAGCAGGCAGCAGGCAGCAGGCAGCAGGCAGCAGACAAGCCCCAGTCAGGCAGCAGGCAGCAGGCAGCAGGCAGCAGGCAGCAGGCAAGCCGCAGCAGGCAGCAGGCAGCAGGCAGCAGGCAAGCCGCAGCAGGCAGCAGGCAGCAGGCAGCAGGCAGCAGGCAGCAGGCAAGCCGCAGCAGGCAGCAGGCAGCAGGCAGCAGGCAATCCGCAGCAGGCAGCAGGCAGCAGGCAGCAGGCAGCAGGCAGCAGGCAGCAGGCAGCAAGCAGCAGGCAACAGGCAGCAGGCAGCAGGCAGCAGGCAGCAGGCAGCAGGCAGCAGGCAGCAAGCAGCAGGCAACAGGCAGCAGGCAGCAGGCAGCAGGCAGCAAGCAGCAGGCAACAGGCAGCAGGCAGCAGGCAGCAGGCAGCAGGCAGCAGGCAGCAAGCAGCAGGCAACAGGCAGCAGGCAGCAGGCAGCAGGCAGCAGGCAGCAGGCAGCAAGCAGCAGGCAGCAGGCAGCAGGCAGCAGGCAGCAGGCAGCAGGCAGCAAGCAGCAGGCAGCAGGCAAGCCGCTTCCCTGCAGCTCGGAGCGGGCCAACAAGCCTCGTTGAACTTGTGCAACTTCCACAAGCTCAGTCTAGTTTTGCTCGTGACGGCTGATTGCTCACTGACACGTCAATAACTGTTGTTCTAGCAATGAAAAACGGCCTTTCGCAATGACTTTGACTTTTCCATGCACTGTTTACCCAGATGGGGTGGAGTGGTCGCAGTGTTGCGGAATCAGAATTTTGTATTTTTGTACTGGAGGAATCTGTTGAGCTGTGAAGCTATTTTGCACAGATGTCCACTAGCGCGTGACACAATGAGTCCAACTACCTGAAATCTATTCCTGGCCATGGCGAACGGCAGTTGCGAGTGATGTCTGAACCGATGCGAGGCTCAGCCCTTTCACCACCCCCCGCAAAGTTGGCTCATGTGGTGAGGCATGGTCCAAAACCCGCCATGACCCAACATGGCATGGGGAGGTCTTCACCCAGAAGTAGATTGACAAAGGCCCATCATTATTATTTATCGTTATATGGAAATATCCCAAATTCTCTCGGTAACAGTAATAAGGCCAATATTGTTCTAAGTTACGGAGCGCATCTACAGACTCTTCAGAAAGAGAGTGCATATCATCACACCGACGTGCCATTATGAGATAAACTATCAGGGGTGGACCGGGGAAAGAAATATGTCCTGGCCCAACTCACATAACCACCACGATCAACGTCAAACGATACCATGTCAAGAAGCGTTTATTTTTAGCATGTGACCAATTGAAATCGACCATAATGCGTCCGATCTCATTGGATCTCAGAAGCTAAGCAGCTTGCAGCCTGGATAGTACTTGGATGGGATACTGGCTGTGAGGATTCTCATCGTGCAAGCTAAACAGTGTAAACACTGCAAAGTGTCTGTACACACGAACATTTATATTAAAAACTGAGTTTGTGAGAAAAAAATCGAATACAATTAAATGTTAAATCTAAACTCCGCAAAATAATACAGTCAATATAATAAAATAAATATAACGGAACGTTCCACTGCACAAAAACTAGCTTAAACATGCGGAGTAAGTGCTGTTTACCAACAGTAAATTGACTATCACGCGACATGTAAACACCAGCTTAACAACACACATCAACCCATCTCATGAGCTCAGGAATTTAACAAAAACTGTTTACGTCAATTACTTGCCTATTTACTGTACTTATTTTTGTGTAAGCAGAGGCGTTGTGATTCAAATCTTGGATTTTGTAGAGGGTTCTCGAAATCAACAACTCGTTGTTAAGGTTCTTTCTTACGCAAATCTTCGCCAATGAAATGTGCACATTACAAAGACTGGAGACCTCTCTCAAGCCCCCCACGCACGGAGAGACCCAGAGTGTGTGTGGAGCAAGGGACTTCTGTAAACATATTTGCGGTGGCGGCTGGTCTGATTTATTATCACGACTACGACTACGCTTGTTTCGCCAGGAAAGCTTGAGTCTCAAGCCGGTGCTGATGAGCTGTAATAAGCACGAACCCGGTCTATCACTCTTTGTTTCCTTCGGTAAAGTCACGTCGAAAGAAATTAAATTAAATAATAATATAATACGACGTTTCGATTGTAACACAAGCAACCATCACCAGGTACAAAAGAATAAGAAAGCAAACATAGTAAACTTGGAAATATAATGCAATACAACACAGAGAGTCGGCCAACAAAACACAAAAAACCAAAGAGTAATTCCTGCAGTCACGAAAGATTCGAACCGGTCTATCACTATATTCTTGGTTCTTTCGGTAAAGTCACGTAGAAGGGAAATAATAAAATAATATTAAGTCACGTAGAAGGGAAATAATAAAATAATATAAATATAAAACAGTAAAAAATATATTTCTATTATTTTATTATTTCCCTTCTACGTGACTTTACCGAAATAACCAAGAATATGAATCCCGGTCTATCACTGTTGCACTGCTGCTGTCAGTCGGTAACATTTGCTCAAATTTATGTTCATGGTGACCTTTTAAGGCAAAAAAAAAAATCTTAATTCAAGTCTTCAGCAACTGCTGATGGTTTTTGCGTAATGCGAAGTGGCTGTTTGGTTTGTATGTATTGTAGCTTGTTGCTTGAACCCGGTGGCCGCCACTGCATCCTTGGTTCCCACATCAGTGCCGCTATTTCCTTGAGAATGTCGTTCTCGAAGGCGCCTGATTATTGCTGTTTTCGTTGTCAATGTTCATCATAGCCCGAGGTATCACCTTGCAGGAGCATCGCAACTGCTACGAAGCAGGAAGAGGCGTCACGGCGCTCCACGGAAACTCCTCAGACGGATTTGAGTTGCGAGATTAAAATTGAAGGACATTTTACCAGTCAACTATTAATGCTGCAGCTGCACAAATATCCCCCATATAGCCTCAGCAGAATTCTGGGACAAGTGCTGTTAACGAGCTCCTAATAAGGCCGGCACGGCACACGAGGGAGTGGGTGACCAGAACCACTCTCTAACCCATTTCGTTGTGCCGTGTGGATCATCCTCTCCATCAGCCATGATCAACCCACTGCTGGGTGAAGGGCCCACAGCCGCTTATTGGTTCCACGTGCTGCGAACATCGAGGAAGCTCCAAAGTGAGCGCCGTGCAGTGAAATTGAAGAGCACCGCTCCCCGAGATGACTGTGTTCCTCATTAGAGCGGTTAAAGTCATTAGGGCGGTTAAAGTCGTGATGTTGTGTAACAACACGCAGGACTGGGGGCCGCACGTGGAACAGGAGCACCCCACGGTGAAACGCGGTGAGCGGTTTGCCACAAACACAATGTCTGATATCCAGATTTGACATTTTCGTGACTGCAGGGATCCATGCTCCTTGGTTCTTTCGGTAAAGCCACGTGGGTAGAAAATACATGTATTTTAATAATGTTATTTTATTTGATACCTACGTGTAAAAAAATATGTATTTATTTTATACCTACGTGACTGAATTTGTATTTATTTTATTTTATACCTACGTGACTTTACCGAAAAAACCAAAGAGTAAGAATGTCTGCTAATAGACACTCGTTTATTTATAGAAATACTACATACAGTATAGCAATCCAGAGGGCCGGCAGTCATACAATCCACGTGGACTGCATTTACAGATGGATGGGCAGGAGAGCAGTGCAGTGAGGTACATGGTTGGTTGTACTGCACTGCTATGATCCGACCTATACGCTACTGCCTTCAGCAGCCAACATTGACCAGCGTGGTGAAGTATGGTCAGACGTGAAATGTAACGTCTGGCACTTGAGCATTCATTCTACCAACCCTGACTGCTGCATGGTGAGACACCGCGTGTTGAAACCGGCGCTTGCAACTGAATCAAATCTGCTGACATTCACTCCCGCAGGGTCGTGGAGCCCACTAGTTGTGTACAGAATACTTGTGTGTTTATGTCCACACACGGGCGTACTGAAGGAGACATTGTCCATCATTTAACCTTTATCTATAAAAACCTTTAAACTGATCTTGCAAGCGAGATATCGATTATGGAATCGGATCCATCCCCACAATGGACACACGCACGAATCGAATCGTGGCAGAGAGGGCGGGTGGGGGCGGGGCGAGGGGCCGTGTCACGTGGTAGGGCTGCTGCTATATAAGGGGCGCGTGGAGGCGGACACGGTCTCTTTGACTCGGGACTCTGCGACGGGTCGAAGGCGGCGCTCTGATGGCCGACGACTCCATCCTCGTGCATCGGCGCGCAACGCGCACCATCGGTAATTAGCGCGGCGCTCAAAGCGTTCACCTGGCTGTGCCAAGTGCGCGGCACTCGATATTGCAGTTAATGATGTCGGCGTAGTCGTTCCATTGCGATGTTTGTGCGAGGCCTTTTTTGCTAGGCCTCATTTATGGTGAGGGCGGCGCGCGTGTCAACGTAACGCAGAATGCTGAAAGTTGGGCACCGATAAATGCTGTTAGCAACAAGCGAGTGATACAATGATGACATTTATTTGCTACTCTCGACTGCCTGGATGACGATGCATTTCAACCACCATTGTCTTGTCTGAGGCACTCCGCTTGGTTTTTTATAAAAAAATTTGGCCACATTGCTGAAAGCTTTTTTGTTTAAACGAGCACTGCTGCAGAGTTTGACTGCAGCAGCGTCGGCTCTGTGCAGATTACTCACCGCCTGTTAAATCGCGGCATCAACGAGCGGCACGAACAGCGATGTGCTGAGTTAAGGCGTTAGACACCGTTCTGCCAGCGCTGCCTTGTAATAAAATTTATAAAGTAGGCCAACTTTTAGGACATTTACCATGAGCTGCATGGCTCTGATAGAGCGGTGGCCATCGACGCTGCCAATAATGTTGCAGGGTGGTTGTACTTGGTGTGAATGGTGTAGACGCCGCACACTGTACAGTATACACTGTATATACCACGTGGGTCTGCAGTGGTGCAGCGCGACCTCGCACGTGTGGGGCGCCTTGGCCCAGTCGCCCACGTGCGCAGAGTCCAGTGCAGCTCCCACGTGTGTGGAGGCTTGTGGACTAACCTGGCCACTCGCTCTTTCAGGCCTAAGAAGAGGGAGGGCGACCTGATTGAAGAATCACGGTGAGAAAAAAATCCTTTTGTGTATTTTGTTATTTTAAGTTGCGGTGCGACTACACACGTAGCAGTTTCTCAGTGCAGTATTGTGTTGCGAGTAAAGCAGACTATGGGCTTAATCACGTTGCAGTTGCTAATGAGTTGATGGCGTCTTGACACGAGACTTGGGCCTCGTTACACGCGCCACGTTTGAGGGCCTTCGTTTGTGGGTGGAGCACTGCGACAAGGTGTAATCACCTTGTGGTGAAGTATGGTCAAACATCGCCATGCTGCGTGGGGAGTACGCCTTAAACATTTTATTGACAGTGCTAGGAGTGGTAAAAAAAATCGTTAAAAATTATAAACTCCTTTTTGTCGCAAGCTCGGGCCCGCGCAACCTGGGACGTGATCTCGCAGCAGCTGTTCAGCCGCTAGGGGGGGGGGGAGGCGCTCGCACGAGTGCGAGTGGGCACGAGGAGAAGGGACATTGCTACATGTGTAGTTGAGATGCCGACTTCACTGATGATGATGACTTTACAAATGGGAATCTCTCCTATCCGCTGTGATGGAATGTTTGTGTCTGAAACGGTTTACAAAAATTACAACCAACGTTAATTGTCAAGTCAAATCTGACCATCTTGATGGGTTTTGTTTTCCGGCAGATGTGCGGGTCTTTACCAAGACGACGCCCTCCGAGGGTAAGGCGCACACACCTGCTTGTGTACAGCTGCACTTGCATTTGTCGGGGATACACGTGATGATTTCATAGTTCAGCTGAGTGCAACTTTGAAGAGATTTTGATTTGTCTTTCGCTCCTATCTGATATCCCTGTTAGAGTTATTCATGGTCTTGCTGGGTTAAAACTTTCTGACTGAAGTTTTGCACGTTTGCTTTTTGACCCTCCAGGTAGAAAAGAGAGGATGCTTCAATTTGAAGGTAATTTACTTTACTGGTCTTCTATCGTTCCTGGAGTAAATGGAGCAGTTTTGGGGCAGTTCTCTCTACTTTGCGAATTGCCTTTAGCCCTCTGAAATGCATCGCTTATTCGTATAAGCGGAGCGATTTTGTAAAGTTTAGTTTGTAGATTATAACTTTCCTCCGCCATTAACCTCATTTTCACTTTATCGATTCAAATTGCACTTAATCTCAATCGGTATTGTGCTGTTAATTTTGCAGTTTGAAGATGTGAAGAACGTCCTGCATTTGTAGCCCCAGTGGTGGCTTGAAGAACGACCACAGGTAAATATGCCCTCTTGGCTCGTTAGTGTTCTGTAATGCAGTCTGTAGTGCCGATGATGATCAAAAACCAGGTCTCTGACATTGATGACACCATTTACACCTTCTGATGGCATGAATGTGCGTGACACAAGTGTTTAGTAGGCTTGTGCAACTGTAGATTTCCAGAAAAGCTATTTTAATCGTGTACATAGTGTTTTGTACTATCGACTCCCCCCCCCCCCCACCCATTGCCTTAAGTATTGGGTGTGATTTTTGATGGATACATTTTTATAATTTTGAGTTGAATAATATTTCAGGCCATTGTTTAAATGTGGCTTTAACACTATCTCCTTTCAGGTCCTGGTGCTTGCTGGATGGCATTGGCGTAGAAGTTCATATGCTCAAGGTTTGTTTCACCAGTTCAAAATATCATTAACTACATTGTGTTTTGAAGCACATGCTTGCCAATGATGAACCATGATTTCGCCATATGAATTCCATGATTCAAAAAATCACCGTTCCATTATTCCTGAGGCATTGCGTTGTGCTCTTAACGAGTGTTTGGTGATTTGGCACTAGCTTATCCAAAATCTTACAAGTTTGTTTTTGTGTTGCAGATATGGAGGATGGAGATGCAAACTACACGTTTTGCAAATCTCCACTTGAATGTGCTGCCGTCTCAACTTGACTGTTTATGAAATTGAACGTGGCTTTGGTTTCGATTCTTTTTTGTGCAAGTCTTGGCATTAATAAAACTGAATTTTTAATACAATGTGTGCTTTCTTGTTGAAACTATGTTAAAGGTGCATGAAAGCAATTGTTTTCCAAACTGCCTTGTAGGAATGGCTGTAATAAATTTCAATCCTAAGGCTGCACTATTCACTCGCAACGACTGGCATGAGGAACCAGATAGGCTGGCAGCCGTGTGAGCTGGTTCCCAAAGATTCTCTAAGCTCTGGGTCCTAAGGTGTTATGGAAAACTTTGCTTGGGAGGAAGCCTCTAAAGTTCCTACGCATGCTAACTATCCCATCGTCCTAGATTTGAAGCTTTCATGACTGCAAGGATTCATACTCTTCGGTTTTTTCGGTAAAGTCACGTAGATAACAAATAGAATAAATAATAGAAATGCTAATAACATTTAAATAAATCACGACGTTTCGGAGGCACAAGGCTCCATCAGGTGGGACTGTCAGCTGAATTTACTGTGAGGAAATCCCCAAGACAAGCCCTTAAATACAAATTAAGGGGGGGGGGGCTTGTCTGTGCTAGCCAGGGGGATGGCCTTTGGTCCTCGGAGCAGGGCTAAAAGAATGGTGCACATCGGCTCATGGTTGTAGCCGGTGTTAGCTGATAAGCATAAAAGTAAGCAATACAGGTAAACGCTGGGGATGTCAACACTCAAGTAGAATAGTATCTCATAGCCCAGGTGGGAGGTTCCTATTGCTGTACGGCCTTTTCAAGCCAAGGTCCACCAACCCTTGTGTAAGTGACTGCATTATAGGTGGACACCTTTTTGGCAAGGAAGAATGTTCTGGTCGTTAGTCCTGGGAGCAGCTTCGGGGTCTAGCCATTGGCACACTAATCAAGTAATCAATTACAACTGCCTCCATGAAAGGTAAACACAGGCTGGTTATTGTAGAGGCCTGTGACCCTTAGCTGGTGTGATACGTGCCATTTGTGGTAGCTACCCACGTCAATGGGAGCCTTACAGGTTGAGTAATCGTGGCCACATTACCATTGTACACCAGGCAGCACCCGGGAACTGCCTTCAGCACTTTATCAAACCACCCTTAGGATGCCAAGTCATTAAATGGTATGCCAGGGTAATTAGTTGGTCTATTTGAAACACGAGGGAGTCCTGGATATATAAAAAAAACGTAGATTTTATTCATAAAAGGATATCGAAGTCAATGCTAACGGGATGGTTATTTGTTCAACTGGGAAAGTCCCACTCAATACTAATTTCACGATGCTCCAAAAAGAGTTTGGCAATTTCTTTAACATTTTTGATGTGCGACAACCAATGTCCAGAGATAACGGTCCACACAGCACCAGAATGCTGCACGATCGTGACCTTGTATATAGATGGATTCAGAAAGGGCCCAGCCAACAGACTGCACAATGTGAATTGAGGTGATCGATTCATGCTTCAGTGGGTGTTTCACTCCAGCCAGTTTTGGTAGACTATCAAATCGTGTAAAATTATAAATATATATATATGCCAATGCGTAGTTCAGGTAGGAACAACCAGCAATAGTACAAGTAAATCAACTTGGGGAAATGATTTGAATGCGGCCTGTCAACTACAAGTAGGCCTTTAACTGAGGAAACAGCATATTCGGGGTGTATCAAAAATACAACACGGTATAAGGGGCTGAGGAGCCAAACACCCTAATTACATTGTGCGTGTAACACATTGGCAAATATATTGAGATAACTCTGAATTTACCACTTAACTCGAACCCTGGTGAAACCCCACCACAATTATCCCAAGCTCCAGTGATTTCCAATGCAGGGGAAGACTGAATATGCAATGCAAGATATTTAAATTAACATCTTATAGCATGTTCGTTGCAAGTGCTGTCATTTGTAATGATGGCACTGAAATGAGTAAAGCCCCTGCCACGTAAATTAAAGGTTCATTTTCCACTTATTCATTTGCACCAACACATGCACTGCGTACGCTACAGTACATTGGTTTACTTTGTAATGAAAAATACTTCCACTGTAAAACCATAATGCACCGTGGATTAGGTGCATTAACCACACCGATAAAGAAAATTACAAGCAGAGTCCAAGTAATGAAATTGGACCAATTTCAAGAGTTCAGTTAAATTAAATACCCCTGCGGGTAAATCAATATCACAAGGCGGCAAGGTATAAGGGGGAGAGAGAGCGCTGCCCACTCAGAGTCAAACAGCATTGCTCAGCCCCACTACTCAGATTTGAGATTAGAGGTTTGGTCCACAAAAAAAGTCCATTTGTTCACTCAATTACAAAGTCCAAGATCACTCGTTGTAATGGGTGATGTGACGAACACCATGCAGTCAATGTTTTTTTCACACATCAACAGACCAAACAATATTTTGAATAAATTACAATGAAATTATTCAGATTACTTGATGAAAATTTTGTCGTAAGCCAATTGACAGTTGTGGCTTCTTTGTGTATCGTGCACAAAAGACTGCCCATTGTAAAGTGACGCGAGTCATTTATTCTTTTGATCCTGCAGACGCAGCAGGATGAGTGCAAGGTCTGGGTCACTAGAGGGAGAGGAGGTCCTCGCCGGTGCAAGCCTCGCCTCCGGGTCGCTCCCGCCTCCGCCCAATTGTAAACTTGCCGAGTATTCCCACTCGTCCGCATAAGGCTCCTCCAGCCCAACCTCGGGGCCCTCCCTGGCGGCGGCGGCGGTCACGGCCGCCGCCGCCGCTCCTTGGGAGGGCTGCTGCTCGGCCCTCGCGGCCGCGCGCGGCAGGGCCCGGCTCTCCGGGCTGCCGGGGGAGAGTTCCCCGGCAGCCGCCCCCAGGGTGGGGATCGAGGCAAGGTGCTGCGAGTGCGTGTCGTGGAACCAAGCCAGCAGGTTGTCGAGCAGGTCCGAGCCGCCCCCGGCCGCCAAGTCTTCGGCCACCGTGGCCGAGCCGCCCAGGGAGCCCTCGGCAGCTGCCAAACTCCAGGCTGTAGTCGTCCCGCACGGCGGCCGCCTCGGCGGAGGCGGCGGCGGCGGCCTTCATTTCTGTCCACACGTGGGAGGGGGTAGAGGCCGTGGTCTGGGGCCAGGGCATAGAGGTCAAAGGGAACGAGGAGGAGAGCCGCGCGCCGCCGTCGGGCCAGGCGTCCGTGCCGTCCGAGGGGCCGGGCGACGCGGAGGGAGAGAGCCCCGGTGGGGCCGGCGGGTGCGCGGGCTCCAGCTCCTGCAGGGACAGCTGGATGGCCAGCAGCATGTCCGCGTCCTCCTCCTCCAAGAAGCCCGGAGGAACCTGCTTGCACGAGATGCAATTCACGTTGCAACTCAGTCTGGAGAGGCTCAGCGGCAGAGCGGCAACATTTAGCAAATCATCTCCACGTACGCTCCGCTACTTAACCAATCGCAAACCGATCAGAAACCTGAATTTATTCAGCTGCCAAGAGCTCAATGAGAGAAAAACCTCTTTTGGGGAAAATAAATCTGCAAAAGAATGGAAGAGAATAGGAATTGATGTGAATGAGTCGGAAATAAATATAGCAAACATGCAAACAGAATATATATTTGATACCATACAATAACAAGATTACAAGTAAAACATAACGAACTTATGAACTAACAGTACATTCACAAAAATCCAAAAACTAATATTTTGGTTTTAGAGCTTTTGAATGGCCTGATTAGGTGTTTGCTAACAGTAATTATCTCTGCAGTCTAGAAGGCTAAATAGGGAATCTAACGTTATGATCTCATATCACTACAGTTTGTGTCATGTGTTGTCATTCAACAAGCTGATGTGTCAAGTAAAGACTCGATTCGAGGGAACAGTGGACGAGTTTAAATGCTGGATTTTACTTGAGTCTTACATTTTGAGAAGGGTGCTGGGAAGCCCGCACACTCAAAGGACCACAAGTGGATGAAACGGTGAAACACTTTCTTGGTGGTTTGCCACATTGCTGTGATCGAAACATCGGCACCCTTTTTGCCACGAATGCTGCACTGAGGAAGACACGGCATGTGGAACCTGTCGCCCAATGTGTCTCTGCTCCAACGAGTGTGGAAAGACGCTCGTTTGTATTTACGGCATTTAAATAGCGGTGAGAATTCCACATCACCGTGGCGGCGCCGGTATCTCCTAAGGACATCCCGCAACACGATACTAATTTTATCGATCCCCGCAGAGATGATGGGCCGAGTAGGCAGGTGCGTACGTGTGAGCGGCGCAGGCGCGGCAGGCTGGGTGGGGAGTACTCCGGCAGAGAGAGGCTGCTCACGTGGCTGAATGAGCGAGAGCTCTCCATGCGGCGAGCCCTCCGTCCACTCAGAGGCGAGTCTGCGGCACGCCACAAAAGACAGAGATCCCCCGTGCAGCCGTTAATAGAATGATGGGGGCAGACGGTGTCAGCAGGCAATTTTGAAGCCTGGCACTGCACACGGGGTGACTGGCCAGCACCACGCCCGGCCACCTTTGCCCAATGCTGACATTTACACACACCGCACACCAGGCATTGAACTCGCAATGCCGGGTTCGTAGCACGAGGCGCGATCCACGACGCTGCCGCTCCCCATTGCGGTGCACCACGCGCACACACACAGACGTGTATCTGGGGAGATGCACATGTACAATGCAGTGATGGGTGCAATGGAGAAAACATGCACACAGATGCCAGCAAATGCACTATTTAATCAATCGTATGGAATATATTATCAGCTCCACGTTACGAAACTGCGTGTATCATATGTGAAGCAACATAACTATAACCCAAAGCTTGCTAATTAAAAATGTTTAAGAAATGATAAAATGTTTAAGAAATGATAAAAAAAAATAAGTCTGGAGCACAGCAATTTTTATGAATTATAGCCTGTCAAACTAAATGGGTCAAACAGTTCAATGTCACATTCCTATTAGCTTCTGCAACATTGGGGCACGTGGCACGAAGGAGCTTCTCTTGCCACGACATGGCATGAGAGGAATACACGTGTAATGGTGTTATTGGACGAACGTACACCATCTCCGGCTAGCACCCACTGCTTACCTGTAGGGGGCGATCGCGATATCCCGAGCCCGGGGCAGGGTGGGCTGTGGGGTGTTTGGATCCCCCCGCCCGTCCCAACGGGTGGGGGGGGCTGCGGGGTGTCCTGGGAAGGCCGCTAGCCTAGGACCCTGGACTCGTCTGACCCGCAGTCCTTGCCAGGGCCGGGTCCGTGTGGCCAGTGGTCGAGACCTGCACCTTGGCGCGGTCAGGTCAGACTAGCCCAAGACCCTAGCTTAGGAACAGGGCGAGTTCAGTGGGGAAGTGTATCCCCTTAGCTAGCGGGTGGAAGTTCACAAGTTGGTGTTATAATAAATAAGTGTTGCCTCAAGTATCCGTCTACGGCGTCTGAAGAAGCCACTACGCACGCGTAGCCTCGGCCTACCGGTGGACGACTCCTCGCGGAGGCCTGGGTCAGTGAGGTGGCTGTGGCTGCTGCGCGGGTCTCCTCTTCGACTGCGGCGCCTGCGCCGCTCCAACACCTCCTCGTACTCCTGCGTTGACAGAAGCCGGCGGTCAAGAACACGCACAATCACGGCCACACACTCAAACAACAAGAACAATCATCCCCGCAAATCCTACACACACTGTCGGGGAGCGCACGCCCATGATGGCCAACAGAGGGGACATGAGGGGGTGGTGGAGCGAGCACCAAGCTCGGCCACGTTTTCTCTTCCGTGCTGATGTTTGTACATCACACCAGCTGCTCGTCATTGACAATCGTTCCACAGTGCAGGGATAATTCAGACAGATTTATGATATTGTTGATTCTGAGGTCCCAAAAGCATCATCTCTGCTTTATTACAATTTAACATCAACATTATTTTCCACGACGTTGTCGTGGTTTTGCCCCCATTCAGACAGACATTGGTTGCATTCTCCAGCCTTCTACATCGCCACGGATTGCTTATGTGGAGCGCGTGGAGCGAAACGTCAGACATCGTGACCAACAACACGGGGCATGACGAGAACACACGTGGGAGAGCTCAGAATGAAAATCTGGAGCATAACCATGGGAAGCGTTGCAAGCCGTGTATGATTGAAGGTGTCCGTGTGTGACTGACGGTGTCCGTGTGTGACTGACGGTGTCCGTGTGAAACACCTCTGGAGAAGAGAAGCCCAGGAACTCCCACTCCCACGGCCGCCCAACGAGCCTGTAAAGGGCACACGCGGAGATTACCGAGAACGCCCTGAACGTCTCGCGTACATCACTGCACTTAAAACTACACACGCGGGAGAAAACAGCTCACGTTACAATGAATAAGGTGTTTTTTGTTGCAGAGGAAAATAACACGCGGTGTTCATTCGGCTGCATGTGCGACTTTGTGTGCGTGTAAAGTGGCTGCGGTGCCGCACGTTCCCACGAGCGTGCAGCCTGCCCGCGCGTGCCCGTGCGTGCGAGCAGCCTGCCTGCGTGCGGCCGCGTGCGTCGCCTCGCGCCTCGGCGTGCGTTCGTGCCTGCGAGAAGACGGCGGCGAGTCCGGCGGGGCCACGCCCCTCGCCACGGACGCCAGGAACTCCTGCCGCTTCTGCTGCGCGAGGCGCGCGGCGCGCACGATCTTCTGCCGCGGCGTGCGCAGGTACGGCCGGTTCACCTTCTGCGCGAGGTCTTCCGTCAGCATCTCCAGGTCCATCTGCACCAGCGGCGGTCGGGAGGCGCGAGCGTCACGGATGCGCAAGCGGCGTCACGAGGGATTACGCCAACCCCGGGGGAGGCAGCGGCCAAAGGAACTCGAGGCCCATCGTGCCCAGTAAGTTACGTCGAGAAACAGGATCGTGATTTGAAGCTTTCGTGACTGCAGGAATCCATACTCTGTTTCAGTAAAGTCACGTCGGTAGAAATTTTATAGAAACTGCTGTTTTTTCTTGCTGTGGTTGTCCCACCTGATGACGATTGCTTGTGTTGTGATTGAAATGTCGTGATCTATTATTTTTCTACATGACTTTACCGAAAGAACCAAAGAGTAAAGAAACATAAAATACGACACCCATTAAATTGCTGTTAATGATGAGGTCTGAAAACCTTTCATAGTTCCTGTAATTGGATGCTTTGACACTTCACTAGATATGAACTGTAGTGAAAGCAACACATGTCGGCTTCGCTCTTTTCATGCAGAAAAGATGAACAATAAAAAATTGTTCCAGAACATAGTTTGTCCTCTATTCCAACTAAATCCCTCACCTGCAAAACTCCTATGAGCTCATTAACTTATTATCTCATTGAAATAACAGCTTAACCACTTGTAGAAATCAAAAATAACATAACTTGTAATTTTATGAAAAGGAGTCAAGGGGCACACACACGCGTGTGTTACACACGCGTGTTTTTACACACACACACGTGTGACACACGCGTGTGGTGGGCACAGTCCACAGTGCTCGTGCCACACCTGCATGAGCTCAAAGATGTCCTTCTGCGTGCTGTGCGGCTCCAGGAAGTAGCCGTAGCCGTAGGAGCCGCGCAGGACCCGCCTGGTCTTCAGGAGCTCCTGCACCGCGTGCTCGATGAAGCTGGTGTCCACGCCCTCCACTGCACACACAAAGACCACCTTGTTCGTGCGCCAAATTTAGCCCAAAGACAAGGATGTTTGAAGCACGAGTGGTATCTATTGATTGAAACAAGTAGGCCATTGTGTGCTGCCATCAGAGTCCAAATGTGGCAAATTTGAAAATGACCCACGAATTACTCACATGGGGTGGTTACATATGGTGCAAAAGAAGTTCAACACGCAGAGAAACATTATTGGCCGGGTCAGAGGTGGACTTTTACGATAAAAAAATAAATATCTGGCTTTTGCATACAGGTGCATGTGGATTAATGTTATAAATGTCATGGCAGGATTGGATTAGCAAGGTGGATGTTCAGACCAACCACGGTGTATCCCAATCTATGCCCCTCTGCTCCTCCTCCTCCTTACTGTTCTCCAGTGCACTCCGCAGGATCTCCATCTTGGCTCGTGCCGTCTGCAGCAGTGGCAGCTCCAACTGCGGAGCGGCACGGGCAGGCAGAGTGAACGCCTACACCGGCACTAACAGGCACACGCTCGGGTTGCCCTCTAAGGCAAAGACGTTGCACTGAGAAGTGGAGAGATGCACGACACTTTCACTTTCTCTGGCAACAGCCGACACTCTTCTGCTGTTCCCTCTCCACGTACAACTGACAAACCTGGTTTTCCAGGCTCTGCAAATTAAACTGCCACGTGTCACTGCCACAGCAGAATTTCCTGACGTATTGATGTGGTACATACATCAGCACTGGTCAGCTGTTTGTGCTTTAGAGCGTTCAGCTGAATCCCTGTACCAGCCCTTCCAACGGGTTTCCCAATCTGGTTTGACACGACCCCCATAACAACATCCGACTAAGCGTGCTCGCAGTAAATGCACACAATACAAACAAACGACTGCCAATCATATGTTTTATATTCATTGAAACACATGGTAAATATAACTCCAGCTCTGATTGTTTCCTTTATCTGTATGTTTTTTTTTTATCTCTCGTCATTTCTCCAAATTTGTCCCCTTGTGTTGCTTTTGCCATTTCCTTGTTTCTCCAAGTGTGAATGTTTGAGTTGCATAAAACAATGCATCATTCTGACTTTATTATGGATAATGGTCGCGAAATCCTACGTGTGTTAAATGGATACCGAAAAGATGGTCAATGCGTTCGTTTTCTCTCGATTTGACTTTTTGTAATTCACCGTCTGCCGACATCCCCCTTAGACCGTTAAGCCGCCTACAACGCGTGCAGAGTGCGGCTGCCAGGATCGCCATGCGGGCGCCTCTCCGTGAACGCACGGCCCCCCGTGTGCTGGCCTCCTTCCACTGGCTGCTGCTCTGGATTCACAACGCAGAGTTCAAGATTCTCCTCCTCCTCCTCCTCCTCACCTACAGGGCTCTGTAGGGTGTTGCTTCCTCACACAGACAGGAGCTCCTTCACCCTTATGTTCTAACACATCTCTGTGGCTCCCAGGATGTGGAATTCACTTCCACTGGAGGCTCGCTCCGCTGACTCCCCCCCCCCCTCTTTTTATTCAAATCGCACGTTCAGAGGCAACTTATTTTCAAGGGCTTTTTATTTTTCTTGGATCCTCTGTTTTAGGATCGTATTTTAATGGTGTGAGCCCGCGTGTGCGTCTTGTACAGCATCTCGTGACCTCCGTGTGAAAGGCGCTTGAAAAGCGTAAATTATTATTATTATTAAGTGTGTCCCAGGCAGTTGTGTTGTGCCAAACCTTGTAACTGTGCTCATGGTTTTTGAAGCGGCTGTAGTAGTGCATAAATCGATCAAGCTCCTGGAACTTCTTGTGCTTCTTCTCAGCCTGAACACAAAAGAAAATGTCAACCATCACAGAGCAGATTCCTGTCCATCCCAAAGCCGAAATAATAACCTTCAAATTACTCAACAGGGATTACACGTAGCAAACAGTGAACACTTGGCAGGATCCCCCTTGAAAAGAGTCGAGATTCAGCGAGGCTTTCCAGGGTAGTAATAATGATAAAAACAATGATATATGTTACGTGATATATGTGTAGAAATGTGTGGAGTGTTTAAATGCCGCGTGCGGCGCGTGCGCGGTGTCACCTCGTTTGCCACGTCGCGTGACGAGTCCTCCACGGCCTGGATGACCTCGTAGCGCGTGCAGCGGTAGTAGCCGCCGGTGGACGAGCTGTGCTTCTTCCACTCCTCCAGGCAGATCCAGCAGAAGTCGTGCTTACACTGCCCAGCAGAGACCCACATCCCTCCCTCAGCACCCATAACTGGAGACAGCTGTCGCTGTTTGAACTATGCCCGGGCCACCTTCATCTGCAGGGCGCTCATGTCGTCAACACACCGCACCGGATATTCACGTTGGTCTGAGCTGGCTTAATAGGGGCCCAGGACCACTTCTCTATAACTTTCCACTGGACTTTTACATGCCAATAATTATAAGCTAGGATTGCAAATTGCAGTGAAGTATGCTAATCACTACATCACATCTCCTCCACACACGTGCGTACATCATTTATGTCATGAGTGCACACCAAGAGCCAGAAATGGAAATAAATGGATACCAAGAATTGAGAGAGGGCTGGAGTCAAACTCCTCAAATCAATAATCTTCTGTTCTGCAAATCTTATTATTTGCAGAACCCAGAGGGTCTGCAATTCCTTCCATTACTCATAGATTCCCCAAGGATTAGTGGATTAATCTGGTGATGATTAATCTGTTTTAAACTGCATATTGTCTCTATAAAGTACAGGAGAAATAGAGCTTGGACCGGACTGAACAGCCATCTTACACCGATACAAAGGACCATGACAAAAAAAGATTAACAAAAATTGGGACATTGTGAGAAACGAAAATGCAGCGTTATGAAGTCTACGGCCAATGCATGGAATGAGCCCCCCCCCCCTGGAACATAAATAGTGGATTTTCTAACCAACATGACATCTAAATAAAAAATCTGTTATTCATAATAAGCTTGACCTACGATAACTTGTTATTTGTAATACGTGATATATTTTTATAATGCGCATTGCCGTTAGCCACTGAAAAATTGCCCACTGTTGACTGAATCAACAAAATGAAACAAAGTTTCCCAAGTGGTGAAAAGTGTCAATGTCATTGGTGGTACTCACCTTAGTACATTGCATATGGTTACACCCATCGTTCTTCTGAATAGGAGACTTGCAGCTGGGGCATGGCTTTGAGTTGGAGATGAGCCAGAGGCAGTTGGCAGCATCCTCTGCTGCAACGCTCACACCGCTCACTACAACCAAAGACAAACATCCCCCCGAATATCTTTAAACAGACTGTTGGGGCAAGCGCTGTTAACAGGCACCTATGAAGGCCGATACGGCACACAAGGGGTTGGAGTGGCCAGCACTACGTCTGCGTGTTCACGTTGCTACAACCACACGAACACGCAGACACCCACAAACACAAGGCATACATAATAATGTAGCATATTTGCTATGCACGCTATTTGAAAATGCAAGGCTATCACGAAGGCGCTATGTTTCACAGTCTGCAGTAGTCTCACAGTCGGGGGCAATGTTGCTATGTGCATTGCCAATCTAGCAATTGAGATTTTTTACAAATTTGGACCACGATGCCAAACACAATCACCTGCTCTACAGTGAATCAGATGGCACATATTTTACGGTTCATACACCTGCAGTAATAACCAGGGTGGACGGTCAGATTAAAAACTCGAACCCCTGCAACCAGCGACGAACGTGTTACCACAAGGCCATGTCACCACCATGTGGCAGAACGCAAATCCAATATGCACAGATACACGAGTACACAGGACAGCAACAAAGACACACACGTGGTGGACGAGCGTGTACAATCAAAATCATCCAGAGTACGGGATCCGAATCCGTAGCATATTCCCTTGAAATGTGCAAAATGAAGAGCAGGACAGCTTTTTCCCAACAGAAATGTTTCATTTATCCCAGAGGCACAGAGACGGTGACTCTAGATCCTGGGTGTTGGGCCTCATGCGTGTACTCACGCTCCTCTGGCTTCATATCCACGATCTTTTGAAGCCACTGTTTCCAGGTGTCACAGTCGCACGGCTCATGGGCCTCTCCCAAACACTCCCTTCGCACGCGCACACACACCACACACACACCATACACACCACACACACACCAAACGCACACACACCACACACACGTGTAAGCCCACAAGCACATATGCTCTCTCCCATAGGTGGTTACAGATACACTCACAAATACAGTACCAGATTTATGTAACCATATAAATCATGATTTTTTCCATAATTGATAATTACCATATATACACAATTATCAAAGCCTATGACCAAATCACCCGGAATGCACTCAATCTGGTCAAAATCTTGGAAGCTAAACTTGGCTGAGCTCACGTAGAAGGCTGTGCAGCTGATACTTAGCTGTACACTGGCCATCACAACATCCAACCATGGTCGGTAATGTGGCCTGTTGTCTGGTCAAGCATGCTGTGAGATGTATAGTGCACAAAAAGCAAAATAGCAGGGCCAGGCAACAGCAGAGCCAGCTCTTCCTCGGCCACAGAACAGCTGTTAGAAGAGTTATTTTACGGCCAACAACGTTCCTGTACTGCGACGAAAGGGCTGCATAGGGCTCAAGGAAGGCTCTTTTCTCTTCTGCCAGGCAACACGATAGCATTGTTCAACAGGTCACATAGTGCTGGTGAGACTCGGGAGACTTGAAACCAGTCCATTTGGGTTGCTTAAACATATATTGGTGCAGTAACATTGGTCTAAATGGCCAAAAACCTGATTGGCAAAAATTGTTGTTTTATGTTTACGTGTGGTAAGAAACCTGTATTATTTTATTAGATACAATCCATCACCAAGACACATATAGTAAAGTATGTCTACAAGGAGCCATGACATTATCCTTATCTTACCTCCTCGCTCCTCTAATCTCTCTGCAGCCCAGTGATCAAACACATCTGCTGAGTAGGAGTCTAAGTGATGGAGTAGGTGATGATCAGGAAACAGGTAAAAACTATCTTAACTTTGGAGCTTTCGTGACTGCAGGAATTATTCTTTGGTTCTTTCGGTAAAGTCACGTATAAAGAAAAAATAATAAATTAAATAATAACATACGACGTTTCGATTGCAACACAAGCAATCATCATCAGGTATAATGAAATAGCGACATAAAATCTAACCAGAAAAAATTATAGACAGACATATAAGCAGACAGATATCACCAAGATACACACAGCGGGCAACACAGGTACAGGGAGGGGTGATCGTCTCTGTGAGGTGGCCTTAAATAGACAGAGGGGGGCGAGAGGTAAAAACTATTTTCTGGAGGAAACATCACAGAGACTTCTAACTCGTGACCTTTAACCTCATGACTGTTTCCCGGTCATACATTCAACCAGCCTGCTTGCATCAGAGGGACTTGTGATGCCACACAAGACTTCCCACGCACGGCGACACACTGGTGTCATTCTGGCTCCGGTCCAGGGACTAGGAACTGCTCATGGAAACGTGGCTTTGGGTAATGGCAAAGCTCAGCATTATTATTGTAGTTCTGCTTGTGTACCCAGGAAATGCTCACCGAGTCCCAAGCTTCATTTTCAGGAGGGTCCTGCCAAGTTTTCACAGTCAGATATGATGTTGCTATGTACGGATCCAATTGAGCAATATGCAGTGTCATTTTTCAGCATGGGGATGTTTGGCCAAAACCGGTTACAATGTAGGTTTTTTTTTTGCTGTCTGCAGAAATTGGAGAACCCATAAGAAACCCGTGCACAACAGAGGGAAAACATACAATTGTACACAGAAAAGCGACTGAGTAGGGAGTTGAACCCAGGACTTTCTTGCTGCGAGGCATCACGAGCGCGTGACGAGCGCGTCACCCCGCCGTCTGCTTGGTGTGCCCCCCGCGCGTACCAGCAGAACGTGTGTCCGCTGCCGCAGTCGACGGCGGTGGGGGTGTGGGCACGCACGGCCGAGCCGCCCGCGGCGCTGGGCAAAGCCAGGCGCACCGCCTGCTCGCAGCGGGGCACCGGGCACCACCGGATGCTAGGGTTGGTGTCCACGAACGCCTGCCAAGCAAGGGTGGCACGGGGAAGCGGTGGAGCCGCACACACACACGCGGAGCAAGTGTCACGTGCGCACAAGCGTTATTTATTTTCTTTAGAATTGATTTTTGTGTTTAGTTTGTTGTCCTTCCCCCGTACCTACGATCAGCACGGTTAGCCATGTACGGTGCGAAAGAAGTTCAACATACATACAGGCAAGATGCAGGGTGCTAATTGTGTAGATACTTCAATGAGCTGTTTGAACCTCTCAATGCTGAGATCTGTGCAATAGTGAACCTGGTGTATTGGCTAACCCGAGTTGATACCGACTGCCTAGGAGAGAGACATTATTCTGGCTGCTAGTGAAGTACCTTGATGTCAAACTGGAGATATCGGCGCGCCATCTCTCTGCACACCAGCACCTCGATGGTCTCAATGGGCACGAGTGAATAGCAGTCATAGGCTGGGCAGAGGATGCTGTGCGCCTTGCCCTCCTGGATCTTCATGTTCAGGTACCTAAGACAACAGCATACAATGGCAATACAATGTCAAGGTTGGAAACCTCAAAATTCCAAACAATCCTAAGTCGGCGCTGTAAGTGCCTTTCCCAGAGTGGCTCGTGAAGGGGCTACGGCAAACACTTGTGTCGGTAACAAGCCGCGTCATAAGCATCCTGCAAATGAGCAATTGCCACTGCTGGGTTTCCCACTGTCTTCATCCCACACATTTGTTAACATTCATTAAAATGGATGTATTTTTTACGATTCCCACCAAAATAATATAATTTAGGATGTTATCTTCGCTCCGCATCCACCCCACATCAGTGACCGTGCAGGAATTAGTTAAAGTCCACTTACTCCTCCCAACACTTCTTACAGAAGAGATGCCCGCAAGGGACATCCACAGGATCAGACTCGGGCATCCGTCCCAGGCAGATCTCACACTGCACAAACAAAAACACAGCAAGGATCCAACTCAACCCCAGGGTAGATGCTGTGAGTACCTATTGAGGCCGGCACGTCAACACTACGCCCGGCCGCATTTGTCTCCTCAACAGTGACATTTAGACGTCGCGCCAGGTACTCATTTGAGGCCTAGTCGAGCTTGGGGAGGACCAGAACCGGTTCAGTAGCTAACCACTACACTGCCACTCCTCACTACCGCTCGTGCAGTACATAAATATACATTGACGGTACACCGCTGCTGTAAAGGAAAGACTTGCATGACTGCGCATTGCTACATTGTTCTTCAGGGCGCGTCCTTGCCTCTGAGCGTGCAAGTGACCGTCCCCCCCTCGCCCGCGTTCAGCTCGTGCGTTTCGTCGCGAGCAATTCGCGCGCCCCTACCGTGCTCAGCCCGTGTCGCAGGTCGCCGGGCGGGGTGATGGGCGAGCGCAGGGGCGGCCGTGAGTCGGGGATGGTGCCCCAGCTGTTCTGCCCGGTGGGGGGTGGCGGAGGAGGCTGCACCCCCGAGCGCTGGCAACACTCGTCAGAGTTCAACATCCACGCCTCGAGCAGCCGCTCTCGGTCCCAGCCTGGGGAGTGCACGCGCCACCAAACACAGAGCTCCACCACGCAGCCTTGAGCAGAGGGCCGTCGACAAGCGCTTATTAAGGCCCGGTACGGCGCACAAGGGGGGTGGAGGCCAGTACCATGCTTGGCCACCTTTGTCTCCCCAAGGCTGTTACAAACTGCACCAAATACTCATTTGAGAGCGAGTCAACCCAGGGGAGGCCCAGGAACAGTTGGGATATGGGTGACTGATGTTAGCCGTGAACAGAAACAGGACTCGTAGCACGGTGCGCTCACCACTGCACTACCGCTCCACTGCTGCAGGTGCACCGGCAACGCCGCAGCACAGACACAAGCAGGCACATGCAGGCACCCACCAGCACAGACACAAGCAGGCACCCACCAGCACAGACACAAGCAGGCACCCACCAGCACAGACACAAGCAGGCACCCACCAGCACAGACACAAGCAGGCACCCACCAGCACAGCTTTGGCAGCAATATTTATACGTGCATAGATTAGAGTATAAACTAAAGTATATGACTGATAATTTCAGATATATTATAGCAATTGAATAGTGCTGCTGCTGAGAATTTTTGGTCAAGATTTCCTTCTGAACGAGATGTGTGCCGTTTCAATATCAGCGTACAGCCGTTCTTCCACACGAAACCCAGAGGCTGTCTTGAGATGCAGCACTGGGACAACTTATCAATGCAATGTCGACTGGATTGTATTTTCAGCCGCAATCAAGCTGCAAGCACCAGCCTGCAGCTTGAACCATTCACGATGACCATAAGCTCCATTCCAGGTTCATTAAAGATGTGTTTTTGATAGAGCACCCTTTATACCCTCAAACATTTCAAAGGGCATCCCCAGTGGCAGCTGCCCCTATGTGGCATTAAGGACGATATTGGTCGCGAGACCTACGTGTTAAACTGCGAACATCAGGTTGGTGTGAATGGCATTGGCCACGATGACCTTCTGACCCCAGGGTTGTGGCGCGGCGGGTACCGTGGGAGCGCAGCAGGGCCTCGGCGGTGAAGAGCGGCACCTGCAGCATGTCGGCCGTCTCCACGATCAGCAGGTCCTTGAGCTCCCGCAGCTCCTGCGCACGGAGGCCCTCGAACGGCTGTGGGGGACGAGCAGACAAGGCGGCGTTACCACCATGAGCGGTCACGGCAGGCGGTGAGGCCAACTCGTCACATTGTCTGTGCCTTCAGCAGATAATAGGACTTCAGACTATGGTCAGGGGACCGATATATGACTTCAGTGATGCTCTCGGCAAACAGGGGAGATACCAGCCTCCTTATGCTCATCTTAATCACGGAGATCTGCTGTAAGTTAGCACTCAATGCACCTTAACATCTGCGATTATCCACGGATAACTGCATGACAATGGAGCTCAATGTCTAGGCTAACAGGATAAAAGGATGATAATTCCTCTTATTTGCTTATCTGCGACACTTCAGCGCAGATAAGAGGCGTTTTACCATGTACATACAAATCTTGAGCGAGGTTTTGAGCTCAATCATGAAGAGCAGCCGTGCTGAAGAGAGAGGGGGGGGGGGGCTGGGTGTACAAACCACGACGGGAAGAGGCAAATACGGAGGGCAGACGAGTCCACGTGGGCGAGGGTCGCTACCTCTCGACAACCGTGAGCGAGCGGCTCCTGGGATTCGTCCCCATCCCCGTCAGGGTAATCCTGCGCCAGCACCATGCGCGACTCCAGGTGCAGCGCGACCTCGTAGTGACGGTTTATTTCGGCACGGTCGCACGGGGTGGCTCCGTCCTCGTTCTCCACGAACAGCGACGCTCCACGCACCACCAGCAACTGCGCAGCCGCAGGGAAACGCAGCCGGACAGGAGTCCACCACGAACAGCACTCAGACAGAGACAACCCACAGCGTACGACGCTCGTACTCACACGCACACAGGGAACAGCACTCGCACGGACACAACCACAAAGGAGAACGTTGCACCAGTATCTACACAACCGGAAATGGGGAATTAATATCACAAAGCCACATTGGGAAGAGCACAAACACAGACCCAGCCAGGGCATTCACCTCACAGCCACAGGGGGGAGAGCACCGGCTGAAATAAAACCACGCAAGGCACAGCACCGGTCCAAGAACTACACGCAGGAGTAAAGTCTGGGAAATGCAGGAAACAGTGTTGACAGGAAAGTAATGCATTAAAACAAATTCACTTAATTCAGACTAAAGTTTGTTCTTTTTGTAAAGGTTAACTCAAGTACTTTGCAGGAATTTCAGTTTGAAATAGCAACATTGCAGATAGTCCAGCAGACAAGGCCACATTTCATTAGGTTGACCTTTGCTAATTGCAGCCAGGTCAGTCCCACTTGCTACTTCAATCAAACACTCAATTGACTTCAGCATTATTTCATTTATTCCTTGAATGGAAAATATGTATAGACGATAACCCACCAGTTTTACCATTTTAATCTTCTGTAATATTCATACATACCACATACATAACACAGACAACCACAAACACACACACGTACACAAATACACACACGCTTGCACACAAGCCAATTTGAGTAAAACAATGCATGCGTTCGATAAGGCAGCTGCGCAGGCCAGAACAGTGCCTTCATGTCACTACTTGATGCATTCACAGAAGGTTGGTTTAGTTTAGTAGATGTTTGTGCTTTAGACATTTCAAGTAAAGCTAACGAATTTGTCTTTGTCTGACAAAGAATCTCACACATGCTTGGAGGTAATGAAAGTCTTCAGTTGATGCAGTCATTAACTGATATTTTGTTGGTTCTTGTCGGGTCATAGGAAATTCCACTGCACCATAATCATGCTTTAGTATGCCTTAGTATGGCACGCAGAATATACTGGGTGCTTCGCCCAAGCCCCAAGGCTCATAACCGTGACTTTATATTGGCTATTTGGGTCCCAGCGTTTATGACTGAAGCCAGTGAAGCCAGTGATTATGACCCAAACGAAGCTTACATTTTAGCTAGTTCAGCCCTTGAGAAGAATTTAAAATATGCAACACTTTATATTTTAACAAATGACACCTCGCCGAATGCCACCCGGACACAGAGGTCCACATCTCAACAACAGATGCCACTGAACTGGCAGAGCACGGCCACGACTCATCTGTCTGCAGCCACCAATTCAAATCTGCGCGGAGCCACGGCCGATGCAGCCAGGAACCCCATTAACATAGCCGCTAGGCACTTGTGAGCGGCAAATATTGACAAGATGAGGTAGAGCTTTGGTCGGCCAGCACACAGCAAACTGGTGGGCTGGGCGCGTAACTGACAATCAAGTCACTTTGTTTGTTGATAATCCCCAACAACGAGGCCTGCCCTGGAACCTGTCAACAAGCCTTCACCACTTCACGTGGCCTCAGCGTGCATTCATTCTAAATAACGAGGCTTCACCACTTCACGTGGCCTCAGCGTGCATTCATTCTAGATAACGAGGCTTCACCACTTCACGTGGCCTCAGCGTACATTCATTCTAGATAACGAGGCTTCACCACTTCACGTGGCCTCAGCGTTCATTCTAGATAACGAGGCTTCACCACTTCACGTGGCCTCAGCGTGCATTCATTCTAGATAACGAGGCTTCACCACTTCACGTGGCCTCAGCGTTCATTCTAGATAACGAGGCTTCACCACTTCACGTGGCCTCAGCGTTCATTCTAGATAACGAGGAGCTACAGGGAGATAGCCGCTACCTCGTCGTGGTCATTGGCGGCCGCAGGTTTTGTCAGTGTGGAGAGACAAGTTGGCGTGGAATGCACACGTGATGACGGGACTCCCACCGTTAGGTGTTATGTACACTGCGACGAGACGGCTGTCAATGACAATTGAGATGCACTGGGTCACACGCCATGAGGTGTGTTTTATCAGAGGCAGACGATCTGCTGCCGTTGTGGCGCAGCGTGTCACGGCGTGCGTCGCACCTCCACGCAGCGCTTCATGCCGGAGCAGGCGGCGTAATGCAGCGGCGTGTTCCCGTGGTGGTCGCGTGCGTCGATCTTGGTGCGCTCGCGCTGCTGCGGGCCGAGCAGGGGCCCCTGCCAGTCGAGCAGCATGCGCAGACACAGCAGCCGGCGCTCCTCCTGCTGGCCCGAAGGCGGCACGATGAGCACCGCCAGCGGTGTGCAGGCGCAGTGCAGGGCCGTCTCCTCCAGGCCATTCCGCTTGTTGGGATTGCCTTCCTTCTCCCTCAAGAACACCCTGAAGAGAACGCACACGCACACGTGCACGCGCACACACGCACGGATTGTGCCCCACAGTCTGTTGAAGGCTACAAGGCAGACTGCCGTCCTAGTTGCGCATGGGCACGTGTGCGTGCGTGTGTGCGTGCGTGCGCTCACGAGAGCAGGCGGGGCATGGCATGCCGCGTGGCGTAGTGCATCGCCGTGTTGTTGTCGTAGGCCTCCCCGTAGGAGGCATTGGGGTCGAGCTGCTGGGCGAGCGGCACGTTGGTGTAGTACAGTTGCAGCGCCAGGCCCTCGTCGCCCGCCTGCAGCGCCTTGCGGAACTTGGTGGAGGCGCTCCCCATGGTGGCGGCAGCGCCGCCGCCGTCGCTGCTCGCCGCTGCGCGTCCACGCGACTATGGGGCCTCGAGCCGGAGCATGGCGGCGCTGATCGAGCAGACCACGCGACAAAACGCCTGCGTCGCCACGGGCTCGCGCTGCGTCTCGCTTCCTCCGCAGCGGTCACAACTCTCAATTATCCAGGATTGTGGGGGGAGACGGATGACTCGCGTAAAAGCAAAAATGCAATTAAAGTGAAAAGTGCCGTTTGCCTACGTAGCGTTTGGTGAAGAGACACCGAAATCGTTATTCTACAAGGCAATGCAGGAAACAGGTTATGTATACAGTAAATCTTCATTACACACTGAAAGAAAATTCAACCATGTCAGATTTTTCAAGCATTATTAAACCCCCATGTTTACTGTTACTTTGGATGTGGCCACTGAGTCACTGACCCTCTAAGCAGCAGCTAATAATAGAATCAGCTAGTGAGAGTAGAGATATTTTATTTATTTCTTCACAACCACGGTTAATCTATAACCCAGATAACCTACCCACATAAACAAGAGTTAACTATAATTCCCTCCCATGCGTCTATTTTCTTTTGGTTTATAAGACATGGAGTTGTATCATCAAATATTTATGTTATCCGACTACTTCAGCAGTTTTTTTTTCTTGCTGTAGGCGTCTCACCTGATGACGATTGCTTGTGTTGCGATCGAAACGTCGTGATTTATTTTATTTTCTACCTACGTGACTTTACCGAAAGAACCAAAGAGCATGGATTCCTGCAGTCACGAAAGCTTCAAATCACGATTATGTTTTCTAGTTTCCAAACAAAGGCGAAGGTTAAAGGCATTTAGTTAACTCCTCACGCACACAGACGGGAACATGTTTGCAGATATTGATCCTCAATATCTGCAAACAGATCATGGTCTTCTGTGCTGATGCAAAACTAAAGAACACATCGTGTTAATGTACCTACCTTTCTCTGTGAGTCTATCTTCAGCTACGCTATTCACACAATTTACGGAGTTTGCACTGTACAGAAGCCGGCAATGCTAAGCGCTTAAAAAATATTATAAAAGCATTTAAAAAAAAATAATAACATTGTAATGCATTATAATAATCCACAGACACCACTGATGACACGTCACAGAAACATGTGGAATGCAAGAAATCGGCAAAGCAGCATAAAATATTGGTGACAAATTCACACTTTGTATTCTTGATCTGGCCACAATTCTCAGCAATCTATACTATCTGGATTATAGTGTGGACTGTATTGCGATATTGGTGATTAATAGTTTCCACCTATTGGGAATTTAGGATGTGACGACAATATCAACTTGGACAAAGCAATTACTTGTGATGATGGTGACGATGGAATATATTACTTCTTCAATATATCAGGAGTCATCACATGGCCTGTTCATAGACCTGTTCAAAAAAGACATTCGCCAGAATGCCAATTATATAGGATGAGGCTATTTCTGTTAAGATTAATGACATAATTACGAGGTTGTCATGAATATTAGCAATGCATGAGTGCAGCTAAATCAGATAAAAACACCCATCAATCTTGGGAGTGACAGTAATTCAAGTTCATATGAATCCTGAAGTAAGAAGAAGAAAAACATTCCCTGTGACCAACATGGCAAACATGGAAGGCCTTCATTCAGCAGTAGATTTGCAATGACTGAAAATTATGACTATAATCCACAAATTATTCGCTTAAGATTGTATTTTTATCTTTCCTGCCTAAAAGGGAGGGGGGCAAAGCGGTCAATAGACTGGGCGGGCTGTTAATGTGGAGGGCAAGGGAGTGTGGGGTGGCTGTGTGGAGGTGATGTTGTCAGGGATCGAGACAAACACCCATTCCGACACCTCCACAACAATGCGTGCGGCCTGAAAAGCTTTCTGCACTCCACACTGAGCAAGGGTCACTGTCAAAACGTTGTCCTGTGAATATTCTTCTGTTCAAAGCAGTCTCTGTGACCGAAACTAAAGGACAGCTTCCTGGGCGTACTCGAACGCAGGATATCAGCAGGCGCTCCATATTCCTACAAGCGCAGCATTAAAGCCCAAGAAGGCACGAGAGCCACGGCTGTCTGCGAGAGAGGGAGGGGGGGCAACGTGGGGCGGGCCGTGCGATCGCACCAGGGTGGGATGCCAGCGAGCGTGGGGGACAAGGCGGCGCTGCCGATGTTGGTGAATTCGTTTGCATCAGCCGCGACTCCCGATGGTGGCTACTGCTTCCCTCGCTCCATCTAAGCAGAATGGAATGAAACAAAAGGCAGAAAACCATTGGGACCACAAAAATACTGTACTGTGACATTGCAATGTTATAACACAACTCTCCAAATGGCAAAAATAACTGCAGCAATATAGATGTGTGCAGGAGAGTGCTTTATCAGTAAATATTCTGTTGACAAATGTCAACTCAAAACAGAGGCTCACATTTTTTTGACAAGTTTGCAAACGTCACGTGGGTTGAATGAGTAAACAACATCCAAGAGCCACTTGTGACATACAATGACATCATCACTTGTGACTAAAGTACTGTGGCATTGTGGCGAACTTTTTAGACGTAAATGCCGCCTTCTTCCCAAACGTGTCACCATATAAAATGTTAAATATTTCTTTCAAAACTCATTGGCTGAAAAGCCTTCTGGGAGTGCTTCTGCTCAACACCATTGGCTCAATGCAAGCAGACTCTGAACCGGTTGCGACAATCAGTGTCACATCCACAGACAGGCTTGATTAAACCGATTGTAGTGAACGACCCCATGTTTGAAGAAAATGATTCTCCTTTGTGTATAAATGCTCGTAATCAAAGTAATACAAACAATACATTGGTCCTGTAGAGAATTACAATGGCAAAAACATGTAAATGTATTAATCCGGACAAGGTTCGCTCCAGGGTGCACACAAACGAGCAGAATGAAGTTGTCTGTGCCATCTGCATCGCGAGCAACGTGGCCCCCTGTCACCACCAGAACAAGCATCGCTCTTCAGCACAAAAGTTAAAAACTAACTGCAGCAGGTGCACAATGTTCCCTCTACGTCGTGTTTTTAAACCACCCACGACATTACTCAAGTTGTCTGGGAGACAAATCTAAACTATTCCGCAATATCCCAAGTCTTAAGATAAAATTTGAACCTAAATCGTAGTCAAATATGGATTAACATTGCACAACGTTTCATAAATACCATAAATACCGTAAATATTATTTGTCCTTTCAGACAACTTATGTCACGTAAAAAAATCAGACAGCCAGGAAACATTGCATTATATGTGTTATGATTATTTTGCCCAACACCATTCCATGTAATTTGCAACAAGTAAATTTCAATAAATTATCAGAATACAAATAAATCTAGATTGTAGGAAGACCCAACCCAGAACACACACAGCTCTTATCCTGCAGGTGCGTAACCCAGGTTATTAACGAAGTAAAATACTTGAAAACGCGTCAGGACCTCCGCTACAGCACTTTAGTGACGTCACTTGTGGATCACTCCAATACAATGTAGCACAGCAATACAGTGATGTCAATAGAACGCACCATGACAAATCGTAGGACCATGACTTTAGTGTTTTTTTGCTTTAATAAACCTTAAAGCTCACATCGGACAGCTAAGGACACAGCCTAGGAGGTAACTACAGGTTAAGGATTGTTTCTTTTATGGGTAATGTCATCCTTTAAGTAAAACTTGAGGCATAAAATTCATATATGTTTTCGTTGTGGAACAATCTGTTAAAACATTGCAACTGTAATTGCTTGTGTTCAGTTGCACATTGCACAGTCAATATCTACAATGATTAATTAAGTGCAAGTCAGGTTATACCCAAGCCTCTCGCTCCCACCCTGGCTTGCTACTCAGAGCTGGCGCTTCAAACTTTTAAGAGACCCCTTTATGTGTCTGAAGGAAGTGCAATGCCCTATGGCAGGCAGCCTTGGCAGGCAGACGAGGTATCCCATTGTGCTGCTGTCCCCACATTGTAGCCGACATGAGGGCAAGGTACTTGGGGGACAGCACCACCACATGTCACAGCTCTGAGAATTGTGGTCCGAGCAGAAATAATTCAGGCAATAGACTGAAGTGTTATTTTATTTCGGTAGTTAAACAGACGCCTTGACGTTTGATCTCATGAGTTATTGCTACAGGCTTTGACATCCATGTCAAGGCAACCAAATCCCCTGGGGGATTCGACCCAGTGAAAAACTTAGTTTGAGAATTTCTGGCCTGGATGGCCCGGGCCAAGATGTCTCCCAAACCAAGCAGGAGATCGAGGCTAGGAAGATGACCTGCTTAGCCTTGGAAATCCAAAAACGTATCAAACCACTATTTCAAAAATAATTCTATTTTCTGCAATGATTGGGGTGGACAAGGATCACGAATAAGAGAATGTGCAGGTAAGATAAGAGCTATGTTTGTCACCTCCCACTGTGATCCAAAAACAATAATTAACCGTTGGTATCATTGTTTATACAACCTTGTCTCATCACAGATTAATGTCGCGAGTCCCATGGGCCCAAGGCTAAAGATCTCAGCGTCTCACTGTACGCCTGTGATCTAACACCAGGGAAGAAACGCCAGGCAGAGACACCATCACAGGGAGTCATGATTGTATGAAGCGGAGATCCTCGCGAGAGCCTCCCATGCCTGAGTGCCGCGGTTCAGTCATAGGTGGAGCCTCATCATTATTTATAGTGTTTACCGCACGGCTGGCTTTGTAAACACAGCACTTAAGCATGGCCAGCCAATTGCACCGTTCTGTGATGATGCAGAGCTCACGGGAGAAAAAATAAAGCACGTAGAGTGAGCAATTAAAATCGATGTGGGGTGATGCAGCCACTTGCATTTGTGGTGAAAACAGTGGCGCTGCTCAAAGCCCCCCGCCTCGACATCGCGAACTGGCACCGGTGTCTCCCACTGCTTTGATCCTTTCTGACGTCACCTTGTTCATGCTCATTGAATATTACACACTTTCAATGAAACTCGATAATCATACATTTGTTGTAGTTTATTAGTGTATTTGAAGTGTGCGCTAAATTATAATTATCCTAAATATGCTTTAGGCTCAATTAAACAATTTTGCGGACACTGTACATTGTCCAATTCATTTTAATGTGGCTCAATTTTATGCATGAAGAAAACGAAAAGAAATCCCAATTTCAGGCACCTATACAATAAACGAGTGGGAAAATGCACATGTGAATACACTCAGAGCCGAATTTCTCACCGAATATTTTCTGGGTTACTAGTAGAGTGGAGCAGGCATGTGACGATAGCCACAGCTACAGTGAGAGTTCTACTGGATATCACGCGCGGAGTATGGAAATATATTCCTGTAGGTGACCCCGACATACTCGGTTGAAACTATGCCCAGAATAGATTTTAGCTGACTACTTCTCAATGTAATGGTATCAATCCACTGCTGGATAAAAGCCTCCCAAGACAGTATTGGTAAAAGCCGGGGTTATTTGCATCTCATGAATGGCATAACAACTTGGACTGAGACCGAATGACGACGGCCTCGTGCATGCTCTCGTGCCAATCTTGGCTTTTTACAGATACATCCGTCTTGGTCGTACAAATGCATTTCTGAAAGTCTTTCAAAACCTTGTTATGTTTTTGTTGCCAAGTAAATTAATACTACCTCCTGTATGTAGTTTAGCAGGTACACATTAACAAATGCCCCCTCGGACCCCACGGATCACGTGACCACTCCTTCACAGCGCACGCACCAATTTTATGTCCACGCTAACTTGAGCTGTGCATCAACATTGCTTCGTGTATTATTACGCACTGAAGTTAAATGCCACTCATTGTTTATATATAGTGTGACCACCCAGTACATGGCCTACCTTGAAGCGATGAGTGTTGCCCAACTGTTTGAGACTGCAAATGAAACTGGACGCGACAAGTCGAGACTGGGGCAGCCGGTCCAACAACCTTAATTTCCCAGCTTGAGGAGGGGACACTTCCCAAAGCTGCATCTTCCACCGCACTCCTCAAAGATGTGCCTTCCACATGCACTCACAGTTGCACTTATTTCTAAAAGTATGGGGCCAAAAAAACACACACACAGGTTGTGTTTAAATATAATTTTTTTACATAAGTTGAAAACACGTTTCAGTGATAACCCCACAAATATCTCTTCCTCCCAATGCTCTTCGTGTGTGCCAACACCACCAATTTCACTTACGAAGACAAAGGATTGAGCCTGAAACCCCATTGGATGGGTTTCCAACAAATGCCTTCTCGACATCATACACTTAACCAAGACGAGGAACACCATGAAACACACGTGACATCATCCGTACATAATACAACAAACCCTACGGGATCTTTCTTGCCAGTATCAAAACATGACAACAGGCTGTAGCCTTCCTGGCAATAAAGCAGTTGCGTTAAGATGTTAAAACACCAAACAGAATGCCTTTTCAAGGAAAGCGTAAAACCTATTGTTATACAACAAACCCTTTTTGCATCTACAAAATGAAGTATAGACCAATGCGCATGCATTAGCGTAGGGTAATGAGTGACACTCCACAAGGGGAAATGTTCCAGCGAAGAGAGTTACAAAGAGCCCCAGCTGCATGACAAATGCACTCACTTACTGCACGGAACAGGCAATGACACTGCACCACAGTCCAAGCAATGGTGGAAGGGACAATTATTCATTTCCCAAAGTCGGTAATCTCAAAGTAAAAACGAACGTGGTTTAATGTAATAAATCACCCGCTGCAAGTGGAAGTATCAATAATGGGTTTTGAGTTTGAGCTTATTTTATTTGTTGCACGGATAATCCTGTTTAGCCAGTTGCCCGGCAATTCTACTTGGGAGCAGGGTGGAGTGTGAACACAGCGACAAGGAAAAAGAAACACATCAATGTTGCAGAGAACGAATACTGAGTCCTTCGGGAATATTGCACGAAAACAGAGGTATTTAACAGACGTCAATTAAATATACACGAATCAAATAAACAGCGCAAATATAATCTGAGGGCAAGAAGTGCCAGAACAAGTTGGGTGGGGGTGCAAGCAAGCTGTATAGGGCCTCACCTAGTCCTGTAAAGTAAGTTGCCTCCTGTAGAAGACGGCTGGACATGGTTAGAGACAGACCCAGCGTGCAGCCATCATCGTGAGTCTCAAACACGTGAAGACACTCTATTACTCCCTGCAGGCCACTCACGTCAATGAGGCTTCACGTGGTTCTATGAAGACAATCTCTCCTTGTAGAACAGAGGTGATCTCAACACGGTCTCACCATATTCTAGAAAGCCACCTAGCCCTGCACATGAGGACCAAGAACCTCAACGTGTTCCGTCTGCTTCTTTCACCTCGAGGTCACTGCGCTGATCTCCACAAGTGGAAGATTAAAAGCAGCCCACTGCGACTGCGGAAGGACACACACATTGCAATATCTCATCAATCCCTATGCCTCCACGCTCATTCGGAGGTAACGAACTCATCCACAACCTCACCCAGGAGGCCCTGGATTGCCTAAAGATCTGACAGAAACCTTTGACAACTCGCTTGCATCCCTTACAAAAAATATGCTATTCTGCAGCCAGCCATACGACGGGAGACCTGCTTCTATAAAGACGTGAACCGTATACATACGATATCATGACTCCTCAATGTCTGACCTGGCTCTATAAAGACGTCGCCCCTACACATGAAGAGACAGTGAATATTGGAGCGGTTAACCTGCTTCTAGAATGGAGGCAAGTCACCCCATGTCGTCTCGCCCGGTGTGTATCACGAGGACAGCATCTCAATGTGCCTCTCGCCTGCTTCCAGAGTCACCCGCCAGAGACGAGACAGTGAATCTCAGCGCGACTGACCCGGTCCTACACAGGACAGTGGGTCTCCATAGCCGACAGCGAATCTCAATGTGGTCTCACCCGGCTCTACAACGACTATCTGGGTTTTATAAAGACACCAGGAGACATGGGTATATCGATTGTGGATATATAAAGACAGTCACTCCCTGTGCCGACGAGAGAGTGAATCTCAGCGTGGCTCATATACAGGCGAGTGACCCTGCATATGAGACAGTGCATCTCTCTCTCCCTGTAGAGGGTGCATCTCCATCGAGAGCAAACGTGTCTCTGTAGAGAGAGTGAATGTGTTTCTGTGTGTCTGTGTGTGTGTGTCTGTGTGTGTGTGTCTGTGTGTGTGTCAGCCAGTCATCTCGGTCATATCGGTCAGTCGACCCGTGGCACCTGCTGGGTCTACCCCGTGACCTCCTGCCAGCGGGCGTTCGACACTTCACGTGGCCTCAAGGTGCACATGGCCTGGCACAAGCGTCGTGGTGACGTCACCGCCACTTACTAGCGAATGGCGGTTGTTGTTGTTGTATGTGTGTAGGTGTGTGTGTATGTGTGTGTATGTGTGTATGTGTGTCTGTGTGTGTCTGTGTATGTACGTGTGTGTATGTGTTTCTGTGAGTGTGTGTATGTGTGTGTGTCTGTGTGTCTGTGTGTATGTGTCTGTGTGTGTGTCTATGTGTCTGTGTGTGTGTCTATGTGTGTGTATGTGTGTATGTGTGTGTGTCTGTGTGTGTCTGTGTGTGTGTGTCTGTGTGTCTGTGTCTGTGTGTGTGTCTGTGTGTATGTGTCTGTGTGTATGTGTCTGTGTGTGTCTGTGTGTGTGTGTCTGTGTGTGTCTGTGTGTGTGTGTCTGTGTGTGTCTGTGTGTGTGTGTCTGTGTGTGTCTGTGTGTATGTCTGTGTGTATGTCTGTGTGTGTCTGTGTGTGTCTGTGTGTATGTGTCTGTGTGTATGTGTCTGTGTGTATGTGTCTGTGTGTGTCTGTGTGTGTGTCTGTGTGTGTGTCTGTGTGTGTCTGTGTGTATGTCTGTGTGTATGTCTGTGTGTGTCTGTGTGTGTCTGTATGTGTGTATGTGTGTGTGTCTGTGTGTGTCTGTGTGTGTGTGTCTGTGTGTGTCTGTGTGTGTGTGTCTGTGTCTGTGTGTGTCTGTGTGTGTGTGTCTGTGTGTCTGTGTGTATGTCTGTGTGTATGTGTGTCTGTGTGTATGTGTCTGTGTGTGTCTGTGTGTGTGTGCGCGTGTGTATGTCTGTATGTGTATGTGTGTCTGTGTGTATGTGTATGTGTGTCTGTGTGTATGTGTGTATGTATATGTGTATATGTATGTATATGTATGTATGTGATTGTCTGTGTGTGTCTCTCTCACCGCCGCTGTTGTTGTTGTTGTTGCGCTTTTCTGGACGCGGCCGGAGGCCCGCGACGTCGCCTCCCTCTCCGCCTTCACAATTCCCAGCACGCACGCGCGGCCGCCGGCCCCGCGCGTCGCCATTGGTCATTGAGCCGACCACGAGCTCCCAGCGACCAATGGGAGCCGCGGAGACGCGGGGGCGCCGCTAATCCGCGCTGGGAAATTCAGAAGGGGCTGTGACGTCACGGCCACGGGACTCGAGTGTTCGATTCCTCGACTCCGCGCCGCGATTCCGTCGCGCGAATCGAGAGAATCGATTCTTTAATAAAAATCGATCCGAGCGAGCGGTAAGGCGACGTGGCCTCATCCTCTCGGGTGGCCCCCACCGTCGTCACGCGTCCCCGTGCCACCTGAGACATCATCAGCGTGGGGGCCGCCACGTTTGAAACCGTCGTGGGTTTGGCAGCAGCACGATGCTGATGGGAGTGGTGGTGGTGGTGGTGGGGGGGGTCACTGGGTGTCTTGTCGGGGTCGCACGGCAGGGGGCGCCACGGGGGGCGCCACGGGGGCCGCTGCTGGACACGACGAAGGCCGTCGTCGTACGGGCGAAATGGACGTCGGTTCATTCGAATCCAGGTCAGGAGAGCTGCATGCTGACAATGAATTAATTCCACTTTTATTTAAGAGCCACAAGCCGATCGGAGAGGTATTCGAGTGAAGCAACTGAACGTTGAAGGACTCTGGAAACCTAAACGTGACGTCCTCGTCAGACGGATGGCGCGTTGCAGATGGAATGGCGACAACTCTTGCTGCTGCTGCTGCTGCTGCTGCCGCCATCTGACAGGCTGCACGTGGCCGGCTCGCCACCTGGACTTTGCGGTCCAGGGCCGCAAGTGACGGTCCATCGACGAGCCCCACGTGACGGGGGTCACCGAAGTGTGTCAGCCCCCCGGGCGAGGAATGGCCAACTCAGCCAGCAGCCACTCACCCGGCGACTTGCACAGCCCCCACCAGCACCACCACCACAGTGCGGCTACTCGGACGATGACTACGCCAGAGAGAAACTCGAGAAATGTCTGCTCAGAATCCAAGACTAGAATGGAGCTGCCTTCGTGGAGATGTCGTATATTGCGGGAGTAACTGTGGTGCCACGACCGCGGAGAAACTCCACAAGCGCCGCGACTCCCCCCCCCGGCCCCTGCACTAAACACGCGACCCGCACGCAGTGCACTCACGGAGTGTCCCGGCGGGGGGTCGCCTGGCACCACGGGTCTTCATCCGAAGGGCGCTGAGAGGGGAAGTCCCACGGTTTCCCGGTGCCAGGAGATTGGCCGACCCCCCCCCCCCCCAGGACAAATTAAAATTGTATGGGTGCACAGAACCTCACCGGGCTAACCGCAATGAGATGCTCACAGCAGCGGAGAGGGCCCAAGGTGAAATATTACGCGAACAGCCCACCGCGGGTTTGTATTCGGCAGTCGGGCGGTCAGGGTTAAGGAATGCGGGCACATGGACAATGGGCCGGGGGATAGCGTAACGTAATGCCCTAGGTAAAGGCAGCGAAACGTTTGACAATCAAAAGGTAGGCGCATGATTGGCTATGCAGGATGACGTAATGTAACCCTGGATTTTTAAAATCCCAGGACATAAAAAGGGGAACCCGAAACGGTTCAAGCGTCTTCTGATCTCCAGCCGCTTGGTGTCAGGGACCGACTCCCTGCCTGCCTCCTCCGCCTCTCTCCGCGTCCGTGCGACGCAGTGAGAACGGCTGCGAGGTGCGTCACAGGGCGCCTGAGTATTTGGGGGATTGCGTAGTGATAGGATAGGCTCTGCTCGCAGAATATTTCCTCTGGGCAGTGCAAGGTTTTGCGCCGTGAATAAACGTTAGCACAGAGCATCGGTGCAGTGCGATTTGTGTGTGTGGAGCCGCTGCGTGGGCGGACGAGCGGCGAGAGCAAGGGCCGAGCCGCAGCCCGAGCGCGCGTTAGAATGACCGCCTGCAGGGGCGCGCGTGTTCGCGCCGCTGCTGGCGTGTTCACCGTGGGGCGTGCGCGCGTTAGGATGACCGCCTGCAGGGGCGCGCGTGTTCGCGCCGCTGCTGGCGTCGTGTTCACCGTGGGGCGTGCGCGCGTTAGAATGACCGCCTGCAGGGGCGCGCGTGTTCGCGCCGCTGCTGGCGTGTTCACCGTGGGGCGTGCGCGCGTTAGGATGACCGCCTGCAGGGGCGCGCGTGTTCGCGCCGCTGCTGGCGTCGTGTTCACCGTGGGGCGTGCGCGCGTTAGGATGACCGCCTGCAGGGGCGCGCGTGTTCGCGCCGCTGCTGGCGTCGTGTTCACCGTGGGGCGTGCGCGCGTTAGAATGATCGCCTGCAGGGGCGCGCGTGTTCGCGCCGCTGCTGGCGTCGTGTTCACCGTGGGGCGTGCGCGCGTTAGAATGACCGCCTGCAGGGGCGCGCGTGTTCGCGCCGCTGCTGGCGTCGTGTTCACCGTGGGGCGTGCGCGCGTTAGAATGATCGCCTGCAGGGGCGCGCGTGTTCGCGCCGCTGCTGGCATCGTGTTCACCGCGGGGCGTGCGCGCGTTAGAATGATCGCCTGCAGGGGCGCGCGTGTTCGCGCCGCTGCTGGCGTCGTGTTCACCGCGGGGCGTGCGCGCGTTAGGATGATCGCCTGCAGGGGCGCGCGTGTTCGCGCCGCTGCTGGCGTCGTGTTCACCGTGGGGCGTGCGCGCGTTAGGATGATCGCCTGCAGGGGCGCGCGTGTTCGCGCCGCCGCGACAGCCTTAGTCGCAGTGCGTGCGCGGTTTGGGATACAGCTGCCCACCGACGCGCGCGTGTTCGCGCAGTCGCTGTAATGTTCACTGTGGGGGCGTGCGTGTGTTGTAGTATAGTTGCACGCAGGAGCGCGCGCGTTCACACAGCTGCTGTGTGTGTGTGTATGAGTGCGTGTGAGTGCGAGTGTGTGTGTGCGTGCGAGTGTGTGAGTGCGTGCGAGTGTGTGTGTGTGGTGTATGTGTGTGGTGTGTATGTGTGGTGTGTGTGTGTGTGTGGTGTGTGGTAGGTGTGGTGTGTGTGGTGTGTGTGGTGTTGTGTGTGTGGTGTGTGTGGTGTGCGTGGTTGGTGTGTGGTGTGTGTGTGGTGTGTGTGTGTGGAGTAACCCCGTGCGGCGGTGAGCCACGCGGAGGGGCCGATGACCCGGTTGGCGGGGGCCGATCGACGCGGCGGAGGAGGAGGGAGTGGCGGGAGAGGAGGAGGAGGGAGTGGAGGAGGAGGAGGGAGTGGAGGAGGAGGATGGGGGAGTGGAGGAGGAGGAGGAGGGAGTGGAGGAGGAGGATGGGGGAGTGGAGGAGGAGGGAGTGGAGGAGGAGGAGGGAGTGGAGGAGGAGGGAGTGGAGGAGGAGGAGGGAGTGGAGGAGGAGGAGGGAGTGGAGGAGGAGGATGGGGGAGTGGAGGAGGAGGAGGAGGGAGTGGAGGAGGAGGAGGGAGTGGAGGAGGAGGGAGTGGAGGAGGAGGAGGGAGTGGAGGAGGAGGATGGGGGAGTGGAGGAGGAGGAGGGAGTGGAGGAGGAGGAGGGAGTGGAGGAGGAGGGAGTGGAGGAGGAGGAGGAGGGAGTGGAGGAGGAGGAGGGGGGAGTGGAGGAGGAGGGAGTGGAGGAGGAGGAGGGAGTGGAGGAGGAGGAGGGGAGAGTGGAGGAGGATGAGGGAGTGGAGGAGGAGGAGGGAGTGGAGGAGGAAGTGGAGGAGGAGGAGGGGGGAGTGGAGGAGGAGGGGAGAGTGGAGGAGGATGAGGGAGTGGAGGAGGAGGGAGTGGAGGAGGAAGTGGAGGAGGAGGAGGGGGGAGTGGAGGAGGAGGGAGTGGAGGAGGAGGAGGGAGTGGAGGAGGAGGGAGTGGAGGAGGAGGAGGGAGTGGAGGAGGAGGAAGGGGGAGTGGAGGAGGAGGAGGGAGTGGAGGAGGAGGAGGAGGGAGTGGAGGAGGAGGGGGGAGTGGAGGAGGAGGAGGGAGTGTAGGAGGAGGAGGGGAGAGTGGAGGAGGATGAGGGAGTGGAGGAGGAGGAGGGAGTAGAGGAGGAGGAGGGGGGAGTGGAGGAGGAGGAGGGAGTGGAGGAGGAAGTGGAGGAGGAGGAGGGGGGAGTGGAGGAGGAGGGGAGAGTGGAGGAGGATGAGGGAGTGGAGGAGGAGGAGGGAGTGGAGGAGGAGGGAGTGGAGGAGGAGGAGGGGGGAGTGGAGGAGGAGGAGGGAGTGGAGGAGGAGGAGGGAGTGGAGGAGGAGGGAGTGGAGGAGGAGGAGGGAGTGGAGGAGGAGGAAGGGGGAGTGGAGGAGGAGGAGGGAGTGGAGGAGGGGGGAGTGGAGGAGGAGGAGGGAGTGGAGGTGGAGGGAGTGGAGGTGAAGGGAGTGGAGGAGGAGGAGGGAGTGGAGGAGGAGGAGGAAGTGGAGGAGGAGGAGGGGGGAGTGGAGGAGGAGGAGGAGGAGGGAGTGGAGGAGGAGGAGGGAGTGGAGGAGGAGGGAGTGGAGGAGGAGGAGGGAGTGGAGGAGGAGGAGGGAGTAGAGGAGGAGGAGGGGGGAGTGGAGGAGGAGGAGGGAGTGGAGGAGGGGGGAGAGGAGGAGGGAGTGGAGGAGGAGGAGGGAGTGGAGGAGGAGGAGGGGGGGGAGTGGAGGAGGAGGAGGGAGTGGTAGGAGGAGGAGGGAGTGGAGGAGGAGGAGGGGGGAGTGGCGTCCCACTTGCCCGGCGAGGGCGGTGGGGTGGACGCCGGCCCCCTGCACAGAACTCACCAAACGAGCCCGACGATGATTGGAGTGAGATGTGACACGGTACTATACAGCACATACACAAGCTGATGTCTGGTACTGAAGATGAACTCCCGAAGCTCACAACAGAAGGTGTTCACCCGATCATTTGCTCCTGTGACAAAGTGGCCAGACCGGACGAAAGATTAACACGAGGTTAAAATAATACCAAAGAAATATGAAATACAAACACAACTGTCAGAAGTTGCAGAACGTACCTGCCAACAAGGGCATTTCATTGAATTTGATAACGTCGATTAAAACATATTTTGAAATTGAGATGAATAAAACAAATGATATAACCATTCTGATCGCTATAAGCCTCAGTGCTTCAGGGAAGCGTATTGTTAATGCCACGGTGGCTAGGAGATGTTAACTACCTCGCCTGGTGTACAGGAGGCCGTGGGTTCGACCTCGACCCTGACGCCTGCTGCTGCTGTATATTTGGAGTGTGCGTGTCTCTCTCTCCCCGTGGTTGCGTGCATTTGTCTCCGGGTCCTCCCGTTTTTCCTTCCACATCTAGAATCGTGCTTTTAGAGTGTTTGGCTGCTCTACATTTCACACTTAAAATGAGCCACTTCATTGGGCTATCATGTGTGGCCAGGTCGCTCCTGAAAAATAGCTATTTAGCTCAGTGGGCGTTACCGGGTAAAATTTAAAAAGTATTTGTCGTCAACGGCAACACAATATTTAATGCACCTTCTTTGAAACGGACATAGCTGTAATATAACACCACTAAACGTGTAGTATCTTACACACAACACACCACATTCCATGCACACAACACTTTAAATTACACCACGGAAGATCATGTGCCATGCACACAATACCAACATAACTCCACACAACACGCGCACTACACACCCGACACATCGCTCCCACAATCACGTGCCAGGCACACAACGCAAAACTACACAAACACGCCGCCCGCTGTATATCCTGCACCTAATGCCTATTCATGTCATTGTATTGATAAACTGTGACTAACCCAACCAGTAACATGTGTTGCATAATTGTATATTAACATAACCAGTATAATGTATATGACTGCATTAAACCCTCTTGGCCTTTGTAAGTCCACAGTGATGACATCACCTGACTCCCTTGAAGACCAGAAGCAGGAAGACGTCTTCACAATTGAGCCTGGAGGAACCCCACGCAGACAACGGGGAGAACGTACAAGCTGCACGCAGAGAGGCGCCCAGGTCAGGAATGGGATGCAAGCTTCTGGCTTTGGTCGCACAGAAGAGTGACCGCTGCCACCCATGGGTGATGCTCAGAATTGCTGATCTCCAGCGTGATACGTAAAATGTGTTGATGATGAGCGAGGCGTGATAAGGAGCTTTAATGGAGATGGAAATAAATGCATCAACAAAAAACTGTCATTCCAGAATAAAACACCGCTCAAATTTACAGTTTTCTTTATTATTTTTTTATTGACATCCCAGATTTGGTTAACATTAATGGAAATAAACACACGAACTCAATACAAATAAGACAATGGGAGAAACATCTTGTGTAGAGAGATGATATTGCAAGGGATAGTTATTTCAATTTAATTTAACAATGGTTTGGAAATTGACATTACTTTTCTTCTCAATCTAAATTTGGTAAATACTTTAGTGTTTATGCCCCGAAAGTGTCCATCATTGTCCTCTTCAAATAATTGGTCGACAGGAGAGTAAAAAACGTAAATCAGTCATCCACAGGCCACATTTTGGAAAACATGGTAAAGTGGTAAATAAAATGGCATCGACTTTGTTTACATGCAGGAGGTCGGACTACAGGCCGACTAAGCACCTGAAATAGCACCAAACGCATTCTCCGAGTTCTGCAATTGTCAGCACTGTTGGTCTAGAACCCTCGTGTTTGTAGTGCCACAGGGACCCTCTGAATAGCTTGAATGTTTTCTTTGTTGACTGAGGTAGCTGCATCTGTGAGGACGCTTTGAAGTAGCACCTCCAATCCGAGCAGGTTAAGATCCGTGTACATTACACACGACTATACTCCCCATCGAAGTGCTTTGGGCAACCTTAACGAGACTCAAAAACGCAACAGGCACAAAGCACGACCGGGTGTAAACATTACGTGGAAACTTCTGGCACTTGAAGCACTAGCGTCAGCTGAAACCACCTTGCGCTGGCTTCTGCGGGGTAGATGAACGCTCCTTGTTCACAATGAAATCCAAAATGCAAGCGGGTGGATGGACCGTTTCTGGACAGGAATCACCATTTCAGTGCAGCAGTTCTGGAGATGTGTACAGAGGGCTGTGTCCTTTTACAGGAAGCAAACTGGGCCAATATCTACACCAAACTCCTGATCGGGGCCACCCACATCCTTGGGTGCGATGTCCACAATAGGCAGACGGCTGGTCTTGGGTGTTCTGTACTCAATCACCGTCTTGCCCCACTGGCCGGTGTGCATCTGTGAACAGGAGCAAAGGCGCACGCACTCTTAGAGCCTCCTTACACACTCACGGTCAAGTTTCAAGGAGCCGTTAGTCGGCGATGATTGCTGCTGTGTATAACCCCAATTGAGCAATGTGTGGTATCACTTTTGAATTTAGCAAATTTGGACCCCGATGATTGGTAACATCCACCGTGAAGCAGACGCCGTGTATCATTATGGTCATTACTCCGGCAGTATTAATCAGGGCGGCTGCTGGATTCGAACCGCGAGCCTCTGCTACAAGCAGGGAACGCGCCACCGGTGGGCTGCGTCGACAACAACAACAACAACACAGACTGACAAAACACAACGTGCTGCTGTGTTCACTTTGGCCTCGTACTTCATCACCCAGACTGCACCACAAATGTACTAGCGTTGTGCTGCGCAGCTGTGCTGCCACCTTCGCCACCGTGCACTGACCAGCATGGTGAAGTCTGGCAACAAATGCCCCTGCAAACCGAACGGCATGGGGAGGCCTTTGTCCAGCAGTGGATTGACAAAAGGGCTGTCCATGTACACATTTACGTGAACAGATAACTGCGAATAACATCACATTGTCAAGCGTGTGTGACTATGAGTGTGCGAGGCTGTAATGAGTTTGAGGGTGTAGAGTATACCCACGTAGGGTTATTGACGTGTGGCGCTGTGCTGAGTTGTGTGTGCGGCTACGCATGCCAACGTTTGTCTAGTGAGGTCGTGGGCGATGCGTGTGAGAGGGCGGACGTGCCTGCCTGTGACACCGTGTCGTAGAGTGGTACCTGTGTGTTTACGAATGTGGCTGCCTGTGACTATAGCGAATACATTTGGCCAAATATGTAGAACGCACAAGTTTTATTTAGCTTATTCTGAGTGTGGTGTGAGTGTGCATGTGCGTGGTGCTACGAACCTGGCGACGATTATCTAAACCGATCCTGGGCCTCCCCTAGGTCGACTCACCCTCAAATGAGTACTTGGTGCGATGTGTAAATGTCAACACTAGGGAGACGAAAGTAGCCGTGCATGGTGCTGGCCACCCACGCCCTCCTGTGCCATTCCGGCCTTCATAGGTGCTAGCTAACAGCACTTTCCCCTACAGTCTGTTCACCCTGTATGGGGGAGCTTTGTCTTTGCACGTGAGTAGGCACGCCGTGTGGTGCAGGCACTTACGGTGCAGCCATCTTCCAGCACAGAGTAGGCCAACTTGGAGTTGCCCTCGGCACGGATTTCCATCTCGTTGGAGCCTTGCAGCAGCAGCGCCTGCTGCAGATTCCCAGCGGCTCCGTTCTGGTAGGCCACGCTGTTCTTGCAGTGATACGTGATCTTCTGCGAGGCCTCCGTGGAGAAGAGGCGCAGGAACGTGAGCTGGATCTCCGTGCTGTGGCTGTCTTCTCCGTACGTGAACTGTGCACAACAGGGGGAAATCATTCGCTCGATTAAACAGTTACCCTCTCGATGACAAGGACGCACAAACTTTGGAGGCATGCGCTGTTTGAAAATCTAAGACCGCATCAGCCCACGGATGGGTGATAAGGCCACTCGGAAACGAGTATGGAATTTATGGACACTTGGAACCAAGTCCTCATTGTAGGATCAGATAACCTAGGTGAGACTAAGGCCAGGTTGAGATACCAATTTACACTGATGCATATTGCCAGGAATCAAGCCCAGGCAGCAACTAAATAGTTTGATCAATTAATGAGCCAACCTCCCTAATTAACCTCTTCAAAAAGTCAAAGGAGTGAGCTCTTGCTTCTGCATTTTTCAAACTAAATGGACGAAGAAAGCTGAATGACTATTGAGCCATGGTGTACAAATGACGAGGGCACACACTGGAGGACCACGAGAAGAGCCATTTCTCCACGTTACCAACCCACGTTGATGTCCTTCCTGCTGTCTCCCATTAGCAAATGCCACCCCCCGCACCTCTGAAGCAGCAGCAGCAGCAGCAGCATCGCGTGCGCTCTGCGCCACTGCCAAGTGGGCCGTGTGTGTGTCTGTGTCTGGATGCGTGGCAGCAGCAATGACCTGGGCATCTGGGCTCATCGTCACTCCGAACCAGACGTGCTTCTTGCTGCCGCTGGGCTTGAGCCACCAGTTCTTGCGGGCGATGCTGGGATTGTCGGCGTTCATGCAGCTCTCTCCTGTCTCCATGTTGCACCAAACCTGGATGGCGTCCGACTTGGAGCCCTCGTTGGGGTCAATCCAGTACAGGCCTGGTGGGACAGGAGGGCACCGTTACGCCACAGCAGGGGCGACAATGCCACGTGTGGAATATTTGAATGGTGGTAAGTGAAGGCGGCACGTGTTGGAGGTAAGGTGTTGAGAATTTTACTAGCTGACTGCAATTGCCCAGTTAAACCTTTGTATTATCAAAAGACTTTCAAGTTAATTTATGATTGGGAAATCTGTGTTTAGTTACTCCATTATATTAAAATATTATCTAAATTAGTCATTTTTTACTAAGTCACGTTTTAACTTTTCTACAATTAATGCTGCACATAGCTGTATAACGGTCATTTGCACTATTTGATAAAACCTCTGCAGGCGCGAACATGTACGTTTACCGCCTTTGCTTTCTAGACGAATCATTGATTCACCTTGCACCACACCGCGTGTGCATGCCGCCTCGGGCCGCTGCGGCGTGTCGATGCGCCTGGGTGGCGCGGTGGGGTGCGGGGTGGGGGGTGGGGTGGGGAGAGGGGTGGGGGTGGCACGGTGGGGTAAGGGCTACGCACCGCTGGGCAGGTCGGGGTAGCACAGCTTGAGGTTGCGGCAGGTGCGTGCCGGGTTCTTCTGCGAGCCGTCGGGGCTCACCATGTTCTCCACGCGCACATTCAGGGAGCTGATGGAGGCCTCCAGCTCGAGATTGCGCTCGCCCTGGTTCTGAGCCTCGTCGGCGGCGAAGCCTCCGGACGGGGGTCCTGGGGGGCCGGGGGGACCGGGGGGACCCTGCCGGGGCACAAGCAAGCACATGTTGCGTACGCGTCGGGTGCGCGTCGGCCACGCGTTGTGTACGCGTGGCGTGCGTTTCGCTACGTGCGGCCCTGTGTTACGCTTGTTACTTGTCTGATGAACACCGACAGGGGCTGGTTGACTCCGATCCAAACGGTCCAGTGCCGTACAGGGTTAAACACATCCACCTCCTGTCATTCGATCTGTGTGCAATGTTACCTTCTGTTATGGATGATACTCGCTACGGTAATGTTATTTTCACATATGGCAATCAGTTACATGCAATATTATGGGATGGCAGCCATCCAGATGAGGTCGCTCACAATCACGTACAACTTTTAACATTATCTGGCCATGAATAATTAATCAATTGCGGTGGTTAGGGAATAACTGAAAACCTTATTTCAAAAGTAGAAAATTGCCATCGACAGTCTATCTGCCGTGACTGTCATCAATGAGGACTTCTGCGCCAAGCAGTGAGAGTGGGTATGCTGGCATGCGTTGGCTGCTGACGAGGTTGGTACGTGGGTGAGCTGCTAGTTGGGGGTGGGGATAACCAACTCAGCACACGGGTTGGTAGATGTATTATATATTGAAAGGAATATTGAAGGTTTTGTGTATGGGCCAATGCGTGGGTGGCCAATGAGAGCAGATAGGTGGGTTCATGATGGATGAACTCATGCATGGGCTGATGGGTGAGCTGGTAGGAGGGTTCAAAGGTGGATGAACTTGAAAGTTGTTGGCCTATTAGTTTGATGTTTAGATTGCTTGGCTGGATAATACACGGCGGAAAAACCGTCTGCCAGTTGATGGAGTGCAGATGTGGGGGCACTCACGGCGGCACCAGCTTCTCCGTTGCGTCCACGGGGGCCGGCAGGACCGAGAGGACCAGGAGCACCATTGGCACCATCCTTACCGTGGGAACCAGCGCCACCAACGGGACCCTGCAGGACGCATGTGCAGAGGCACGCACATCCTCAACAAACATCGCCAGGGGCTGCGATTCCTGATGGCCTCTCTGAATATCAGCAACACAACAGTGGCATTGACCCAGCACGATCTCGGTGGTGAGATGAGCGTTGTCGAAGTGCTGCCACCCCTGGTTAGGTGAGAGTCGTCCTCTCGTGATGCCGGTGCCGACGGCTGCCCCCCCGCTTCCCAGTAGCATAATTCAGCAGGCCCCTCTTTAGAGGCTGAGCTTGACTCCAGTGGCAAGTCCACTACACTACAGCTCCTCCTGGCATGACATCAACCTCTCTGCTCTAGAGCCCTTCCTGCACTAACTTAGCCCCTTTAAGCTGGCCAAACAAAAAGTGCCTGTCGGCAACGTCACTCTGTTGTTTAGACATTCACATTTACTTTATTGGTCCTTCGAGTTCATCAATTCGGAGGATTCTCCTATTTACACGATTCTAAAACGGGAGACCTCGCTGCTGCATCTCAGCGTGCACTCACCCTCGCTCCAGCAGGGCCCGCGGGGCCGGGCGTGCCGCTCTCTCCGCTCAAGCCCTGGTCGGGAGGAGGAGGTTGCACACAGACACGAGTGGTTAGTTCCTTTGGTGGTGCGTTTACTCACAAGACCGTTCACCGCGGCGGCGGTGACGGTGCGGACTTGGCGGCACGCGGCACGACGGCAGAGCGACTCCCTGCCGGTGAGACGCGGTGGCCACGGCACGTGGTGCGGCACGCGGCGAAAACCGAAGAGGAACGTCGAAAAACAATGTTGGGAAAACTACAGCCGGTCGGTGCGTTCCGGCCGTGCGGAACGCAGCTATGGTCGTGCCGAGACGGACAGCCATTCAGTGTGGAGGGGTCTGGAATGGACGCTGCTGGTAACGATGACATAGGTGGTGCCAATTACAGATACGTAGAGGAAACATTCTGGTCAATGTACTTGCTTGATCTTGAAAAAAGGATAATGAATATGGACATCATGACATGAGCGATCACCATTATTGAAGCCTAATATATGATGATGATGATGATGAGAAAAATAATGAGATATACGAAAATCTATCATTTGATATATTTGCAATGAATTCGCGGTAGTTGTAAAGAATACATGGTGGCTGTGTGTGTCTGTGTGTGTGTGTCTGTGTGTGTGTGTCTGTGTGTGTGTCTGTGTGTGTGTGTCTGTGTGTGTGTGTCTGTGTGAGTGTGTATGTGTGAGTGTGTGTGTCTGTGTGTGTGTGTCTGTGTCTGAGTGTGAGTGTGTATGTGTGAGTGTGTGTATGTGTGTGTGTGGTGTATGTGTGTGTATGTGAGTGTGTGTGTCTGTGTGTGAGTGTGAGTGTGTATGTGTGTGTGTGTGAGTGTGTATGTGTGAGTGTGTGTATGTGTGTGTGGCTTACGGGTGGGCCTGGTGGGCCAGGAAGACCGGCGAATCCACGGTGGCCCTTGTGTCCCCTTTCTCCTGCTGCGCCGCTCTCCCCTCGCTCTCCCAAGCCGCCCAGGGGGCCCTGCACGGCACGACACAATTCGATCGTGTGCGTGATGACACGTGTGAGAGCCTGTGTTGTGCGGGAGAGCGTGCATTCGTGCTTTATCAAGTTGTGTGCAAGTGCGATCATAGGTGTGATAGTCCGCTCGATTGTGTTTTGGGTTATGTATTGTATGTAACTGCGTGCACGACTTATGAAATCGTGTTGTTCATGTTGCAGATGGCAGTGCCCACCTTGGTGCGTGCGTGACTCTGCGCGTGTTGAGTTTGTGAATCTCAATTCGTGTGGATGCGCGACCGCGCGCGCGCGAGCGTTACCACGTGGTGGATGCGTTGTGAGACATGTGACATTGTGCACGTGGCGTGTGTCAACGCGTGAGTGAGCTGTGTCACGTGGAGGTGCCACCTACCACGGGGCCACGGGGTCCAGGTGGGCCGGCAGGTCCGGATGGCCCTGCGGGGCCCTGCAGGCACACGGGAGGTTAGATGCAGCAACCGGCTCAACACACACTCCGCACCACCAGCACAGCACACATAGTTCTTTGCTGAATATCAAATGCCGTTTAGGAGTTGTATCTGCATTGTTTGATATTTTGACCTCATACATTGTTGTTATTTTTTTCAATCCTTTATTGCACATGCACTGTATTACTTTCACGACCCAGCTCTCCCTAAAATAAAGGAGGATAAATCACGCTTATGCACAGGTTCTGAAGTCACGCTTTCCAACACGTGGTTGTCCTCGGAAGTATTTAATTAGCGATAGCAGTGGTGCTCGCGCAAGGAGCTAGAAGCCACGGCGTCCCAAGGCCTCGGCCGTGATGAGGCACGCGGCTCGGATCACGTCGCTGCCGACGGGGGAGGGTGGGGAGGGAGGGAGACGGGGCGAGGCCGGCAGGGCCGGGAGGCCAGGCCGGCAGGGCCGGGAGGCCAGGCCGGCAGGCCCGGGAGGCCAGGCCGGCAGGCCCGGGAGGCCAGGCCGGCAGGCCCGGGAGGCCAGGCCGCGTGCATTTAGCGCTGAACTTTGTCTCAACGATTGGGGCGACCCTTTGATCAATGGGGTAAACTTTTTTTTGGCAAGCTCCTTACAGCAACACAACTGGATACTAAAGTCCGTTTGCGCTGAATCATTTTGTACGAGAGTTATCATGATCCCTTCTTACAGAGGGCGCACACAGTTAATGCATTGCAAACGCTTTCAACCGGCGTTGAAAAGCGTTGAAAAGAGGATTTTAGTTCCGATGGGCTCTTGTCTTTCTAAATATAGGAACCGATTGACGTATTAAATTATCAGGGCACCACGCAGGATTGCAGACCCAGGAGAGAGTGGGAGCTACAGGCAGAGGTGACGCTGGACAGGGCAGGGCAGTCCCAGTGTGCGTGTGTGCATGTGTGCGTGCGACTGTGTATGCTCCACGCGAGTCCTTACAACGTCTCCCCTCTCCCCAGTGCGGCCTGGTGATCCTGCCTGGCCGCTAGGACCAGATGCCCCCGGGGCTCCAGCGGGGCCGGCATTGCCAGGGGGGCCACGGTCTCCCTGCACTCACGGTAACACCGCAACGACGACACACACGCACACCGTCACCCTCCTGGCTGACGCGCCGCCCTCACCCGCACTGCCCCCGTCGTCGCCACCGCCACCATGAACACCTCCACCCTCATCTCCACCACCCATGCCACCAACACAAAGGCCAACGCAACTACCACCAGCAGCGACATTATCTGTAGCACTAACAATACCATCAGCAACACCACAACCAACAATAATGAGTGAGTGGGTGAGTGGGTGAGCAAGTGAGTGGGTGAGTGAGTGAGTGGGTGAGTGAGTGAGTGATGCTGCACCTTTGGCCCTTGAGGTCCATCACGCCCTGGCAGACCATCAGCTCCAGCAGCGCCCTGAACGCACGGTCAGAGTGGCACAGCCACACACATGTGCGGGTCACCATCGTGGTCACTCCAAGTGTAAGTTGACTGTCATTACATTAAAAAGGGTTACATTTCAAATGTTCATATGCTGTATTATCCAAAGAGTTATGAAAATTATAAATGTCATGATAAATGTGTTCTGTACAGTATCTGCATTTTCTTGACTTTATTTGCTAGTTACATTTATTTTATTTTATTCATCTGGTAATTAGTGTTAATTAGGCACTCGAATAGTAACATAAAAATCACAGATTTATAACCTGGGGTACTCTTTACGAATTAATTTAACCAACAGTTTTCAACCTTACTCTGGCTGAGAAAGTATTACAGCTGCTTAAAAGAATCTGAGGTGGCCCCGTGACAGTTGCCAGCGTTTTACAGGAATCTACAAACATACGCACGCTCTGCTCGCATGGTGTTAGTGAACCCCACGCTAATTAGTTCATTTGGTTGAGCTCAAAGCTCTCCGTTGAAAGGAGACAAGTTCAGATTCCAGCCAGGGCCAACTCAGCCTCCCACGTCTCCGAAGCCAGTGAAACAAGTCCACCTGATCAGCTGGTCCACGCGGGTGACAAGTCACCTGATCAGCTGGTCCCTCACCAAAGGGACGTAAAACTCTCAGCAATGGCTCAGCGGTGCCAACGGAGGCAACCACTACACGTGAACCCGGCGACACCATTTGACCCCGGCGACACAGTTTGACCCCCGTGACACCGTTTGACCCCGGTGACACCGTTTGATCCCGGTGACACCATTTGACCCCGATAACACCGTTTGACTCCCGTGACACTGCTTGACCCCGGCTCGCTCGGCCTATGCTGGCAACACTCACGTCACGGCCACTGTCACCGGGGGATCCTGCGGAGCCCATGGCACCGGCGGGACCGGCTGACCCCCTCTCTCCGCTCGGGCCGACGGTACCTTGCTTGCCAGACTCTCCCTGCACACACGCACAAAGACAAATATCCCCCGTATAGCCTTAACAGACTGTTTGGGCAAGTGCTGTTAGCGAGTAGCGCCTACGAAGGTACCGGGTACTCATTTGAGGCTGAGTCGACCTAGGGGAGGCCCAAGACCGGTTCAGATAATTGTCACCGGTGTTGGCCATGAGCGAGAATCGAACTCGGGTCGCCGGCTTCGTAGCGCATCGTAGCGCTAACCACGCACGCACACACACACAAGCACCCACGACGCACCGCAAATGCCATTCACCACCATAATGGGGATGATGTCACCAGGGCATGCAGAGAACCCCCCCCCGCCCCATTGAGACTCGAGGTGAGGCACACTGTGGCGGCAAGGCTCGCGTGGCGCACGGCAGGGCGCTTTGGCCAGCACCAGGCCCCAGTGCCGCTGGACGGTGCCGGTGTTTACACACCGCACCGTCCACTCACTTGGCACTGAATCAATTTGGGCATTGCCAAGAACTGGTTCAGGTACAGTGTCATAACCACTATAGTGATACTTCCTAACAAGTCAAATAATCACTTAATCACATTGAAAGGGATTAACCCTGTGAGTTTCCACAGGGCGCCTGAAATTATTTTGTTGTGTGGTAACTGCAAAGTGAAGCAAGCTTAGGTAAATAACAGTCATAACATGTATTCACACCACGGACATGACCTTGCAAGGAATTCACAACGGAATTCACAATGGGAATCTCATTCGGAGCCTTTGTCGCATCACATTCGATGGTTAAATGTCAGTTGTGCAGAGTTTAAATGTGGAATAGCCTTGTAAGTATGATCCATGTTCTTGGCGTCCTTGAATATCCACAGCTCAGTAACTTGCCAATGAGGTTTACGATCACACCATGGGGAAAATCATCTAATGGTAAAAGTGCTACAGTTTAAGCAAGTGCTGAGTTGCCATGGCCGTGGGTCATGATGTCACATTGGTCACATACCACCTGATCATCACAAGAGTGCCTTTCAGTAACTTCCCCTTGTGGCTAAAGCAAGTTTATAATTGGCAATGAAGTCATGTGAATGCACGGCTGGGAGAGCAAGACGAGGAGTTCTACGAGGCTGGATGAACATCGACTGGTGAAGGAGAAGAAGGAGCTGTGTGTACGAATGACAGGGCCTCGTGGGGGTCATCCGCCGCTCCCTACGCGAGAGCGTCGACTTGCTGCGTGCGGACGGCGCTGTAGGTGTGGTGACCGGCACTCACCGCGGGACCAGCAGGGCCATTGAATCCCCTCTCTCCACGCTGTCCGGGCAGACCCACCACACCACGGCTACCAGCCAATCCCGAGGGGCCGGGGGAACCTTCCGCTCCCTACGTGGGCGCGCACACACACGCACACAGATTATGCACAATCACGCACGCGTGCCAGCGCTTTGCGCGTCGGCACACTGATGCGCGGTGGTTCTGCCGGCTTCATTCCTCACAGCGCACACTTCGCCGTTTGGCGCGTCGAGGAGCGACTGATGATTTAAGAGTAAAACAAAGTGCACGTGATTAACGATTAACGTAAACGACGTGAGCGGCCCTGAAGCATTCTTCCGATGCAATTGTGGCCACGGACTTGATTGCAGGTTCGTCGCGCGGTGTGTCGATGCGGTTTTCCGTGAGCGTCGCCGTGCCGACGGAGAGCTGCGCGGAGCGGGCCGC